GGACTGTTTTTTAAGAGGTTGTGGAAAACGGGTGGTGTTTTTTTTGGGGGTTTTTTTTTGTGCCGGGGTTTTTTTGGGTTTTTGTGGGGGGCCCCGGGGTTTTTTTTGGGGTTTGCTTTTTGGTCTTTTTTAAAAGGGCCCCCCCCCCCCCCTGAAAACTCGGGGGCCCCCCCCCCCCCCCCCTGGGCTTATAGTCTTCTCGAGGAAGGCTGGCCTTGTTCGGTCGATGTTATTTAGTGTCAACACGTCACGAAATCCTATCTAACATCGACCAAAACCTAACCAGAACTCGGCTAAATCACACGTGAGTGTGAATCCCACCCCAGTTTTATTGCTGTCATTTGAGTCTCAAACAATAGTTTTCCAGCTTTTCGACTTTCACCTAAGACCTCGTCTGGTCTCAATCCTTTATTGTAGTAATAACGTCGTGGTTTGCAATCGCGCTGGATGAGATAAGAACTAGACGGATTTTAAGAGAAAAGGCGGACTGCAATTCAAGCAGTCTACAAATACCACAGGGAGCCAGAACGCTGTATTAGCTAATAGAAAAAATTGGATGTATTTACGCTGTATTAGCTAATAAAATAATAAGATGCATTTTCCTTTGTTCCTGTGTCTTTATGAGTCGTTTTGGAAGGGATTTAAATCCGATAAGAGACGGTTAACGTAGACTGTTCACATTCCTCTATTTTCCCGCGAGATCATCGAGATCGAGCGCTTTGCGTTACCGGCTGCCATCTTGCATGAGTGTCAAAACTACTTAGGGGCCGGGGGCGATTTGGGAGGAAAGGAGAAAAATAGAGGGACCTCTATTTTTCTCTCCCCCCCTCCCCCCGAGCTATAATCCCCGACGCCCGCCCCCTCGGTACATTTGAAAATCAAGATAGCCGTGACGGTAAGACGCGGTATATCTAAACGATCTCACGAATAAGACGCTCAAGTTTCGTCTCACGTTTCTAATATTGTCATGTTAACTACTAACTCTCGTTCGCCTTGGGAGATGATCTCGGGTTTTAATTTAAGAGGAAAGTTAATAGTTAACAATATTAGAAAAGTGAGACGAAACATAATATTTACGACGCGCCAGACAAGCAAACGCATTTGATAACCAGCAATGTTAACCGTCTCTGATCGGATTCAAATCCCTTCCAAAACAACTCGTAAAGACACAGGAACAAAGGTAAATACATATTATTATATTATTAGCTAATACAGCGTAAATACATCTAACTATTCTATTAGCTAACACAGCGCTCGGGTTCCCTGTGCAAATACACGTGCTAGCGGCAGATGCGATTCACTAAGGCGAGCGTTCAGTTGTGTGTCCTATCAAAGCAAACTATATAGTGATCTGGTTAATGATTGTCTAGCTGAAACTGTCAAGTGGTGAACAGACAAGCGGACAGAAGATCCAATGTTTCAATCATATGCCAGGAAAGTGCGTGTGATGCAATAGCATACCAGTTAATGAAAAATATTCCTTCTATTCAAAGAAAAACTTAAGATCGCAGGTTAACTTGAGACATTCATAGTGTTGGTGTCGTTCTTTCAGCCGAGCCTGTTAGCGCCACAAAAGCCTGTTCCAGGCGTCCAGATAGTGGGGACGAAGGAAAAAAAAGCAAGCAGAAAAAAAGCGTTGGGGCTAGGGAAAGAGGGGGAAGAAACCCTCCTCTCTCCCTCCTCCTTTCTTCCGCATTTTGTTTCCTCCGATCTACTTTGCGCTTGTGCCACTATCCACTGTCTGAACACTTGGAACAGGCTAGCGCCGAAAAAATCTTATATCCCACTAAAACACGAACGCAAAGAGCTGTAGAGATTCTAGAAGCAGTTTAAAACCTTCAGGGCGTTAGAGGAAATCACGTAGAGTAGAGGCCGAAGAGACTTTTCCAATAACAACGGTGTTCTTCCCCGATTTTGGAAGTCACTGAAGCAAGACGTGACGTCATATTGCATAGCACTAGGACTGAACCAAAACGTCCCCTTCTTCCTGGCCAGTACATATAGGTAAATCTTAGTTACCACTTTTGCCCTCATTAACACATGCCTTTCATTCTCTGATCAAGCTATTAAAACAACCTCTCTTAATAGTGAAAGAGTATAACAGTTTCAGTTATCTGTGAAATTTTGAGCCCGATATACCGAATAGTTTCGGAGAAATTCTCTTCCAAAAACTCGAAAGTTTACAAAGAATATACCGTAAATCCTCTATTAAGCACCCCTCTCAAATAAGCCCCCTCTCTCTGTAAGCCCCCCTTTTCAGGGGAAGAAAGTTAATAACGCCCCTCCTTTCTTTTAAGCAAGAAACAGTTAATTTTATTTTCTTTTTACTTGGCCCAAGGCAAGTGTCTACAGTAGTGTTAAGTGAATATAATCGTAACATAGTTGAGAACTAACATGACACGAAACTAAGAAACTAAATGAAAGTAAGCAAATTGTAATCAATAGAGTACAATTGTTTCAATGAAGCTTACGCTGTATCAGAGTACAGGGCAAAACTAGATCAAATAGTGTACAGTATATGAATTTCTTGGTTTACATCGATCTACGTAAAAGGATTGATCAATCTTTGCACCACGATGGAAACAACATCACAATGACGTTACACCCGGACAACAGGGACAATAACGATTTAATTTTACACGAAGAAAGTCCTATGTGTACATCTTTAACTATGACACTCATCAAGCTACGACTTGACAACCACGAGGTCCATAAAACTACTCTCGCACATGCGTAGTACAAGCGATCTAATTGAATTATTCTCTCATGACAAACATTACTTAAAAATACAGACACACACCAAATCATAATTCTTTAAAAATATTGTGTCATTCACGCATTAAGACAAAGCTGGTATAAAATTCCAAAACATTTGTGGAAAGTAACATTATCGTCAGATCCAAATCAAACTGAAACGTTGCTTTGATAACAGGCTAAATACTTTTAATTTTCATTCAAAATATTTCTCCGTTTCTGATTGGCTCAAATCCCGTGCCTTATTCTTCATAACCAGCTATCGTTGCCCAATATTTTGAAAGTGAAGTCAAAAGTACCGGATAAATACGAGAAAAATGGACGTCAACCAAGTCGCCCTGAGGACGAGGTTGCGTTATTTTGGTAGTCCAAAACAATAACGGCGGAACTTTTTACACGTTTCGCGAAGAAGAAATAGCCGCACTACTACCTAAAAACATAGTAAGCACAGCAAGAATACAGCTCGACGGATGTCAACTTCCATTTAGAGAGCATCTGCTGTTTGCTTAATCATAACTATAACAAAACTTTACCTTACATTACGCATTTTCCAATATCCAGAAATTGTTAAGGTCTCTTTGATACTAGCAAAGGTTTTTGACTGCAGAATGTTATGAAACTTCGCGCTGAAGAAAAAATTGCCAGTAGCGTAAATGAGACAATGTTGGAAGAGACGTGCACTTTTATGAAAATAAATAGTGCGATGGCGAAGCAATTACGTTATGTGTCTTATGTATGTTATATCTCGTCTTTACAGTGCATGACTATTACTTCAAGAAAAAAGTAAATGACGGAATGTATTAATCCATCATTATTTCGATATAAACTGTAAAAAAAACTGCCAGATAAAAACTCTAGATGGACGGGCGAATTACCTTTTTCCAGGGGCACCCAACGAGAATATAGTTCAAAACCACTTAAACATAGCATTGTTGAACGTATTTTAGTATTTAAACGGTAGATATGGGCATATTTTTTATCTCCTAAAAATTTTTCATCTGTTCGGATTTCCTAGCGGAAAGTCTAGTGATCCGAAAATTATAGGGATCAAAACTTTCCTTTTCGAAAATTTCAGCCAGAAAAAAAGGCTCCCGAAAATTCTAGGTGACCTTTAAGGGTAAAAATCCGTTAAAAATGGGCAATTATACCATTTTTTAGATGTTCGAAAATCCTAGGAGAGGCAGGCAAGCAAGAAATTTTACAACAAATGTTCCGAAAATTCTAGAACTCAAATCGTCTTCCGAACAGATATTTTCCGAAAATTGTCGTTGGGTGCCCCTGTTTTTCTCAAAGTGTGTTTCGTGTTTCGTACAGCTGTGTAAAAACAGTGGATGAGCTAGTGATTTCTTGAACATCCAAAGAGGTTTTGTGCACAGTTGCCCTCTCTAGCACTATCTGTTTATCCTGGCAGTAAAAGTGCCAACCAAATGCAAAGGCTTTCGCAAAACGAAAACATAAAAAATATCACTATAAATAACGGGGAAATCAAGATAAGCCAGTAGACAGATAACACTCATGCAACCCATCTTGGGGTTAAGTTAACTAGGTGACTATTGTATTCTGACGTTTCAGGCCTCAGACTCAATAATACGAAGAACAGATGCTTTCTGCATCGGAGCCAGCTATCCCTCTTCGTGGGAGCGAGGCGTCCTTCAATGTTTTGCCAGATCATTATAAACTAAATATGTTAGTAGCACTTGGTCTGAGGCCGGACGCATCATCAAATTAACTTCAACTATCTTCTGACCAGATACTATATCTGGATCTTTAAAAGGGGAAATCAGAACCGGCAAAGCTAAAGCTAAGCCTTTTAATGCAAACCTTGATCTACCAAAAAAGCTGGATGCACTGGTCAATATTCTTTAAATGCTCATTTTTCACCAACTTGGTGATGTTACCTATTTTATTTATTTATCTTCTTATTTTCTTGGCCAAACCATAACTCTCTTACCGCGGAAAAATGTAGCAAGTTTCCTTAGAATTACAGCTACCTTCACGTCGTTAGTAAGCGTATCAGGTTAAATATGGAGAGTTTTTTTTTCTTTTACTATCAATTAATCTGTTATTAGCTGTTTTACCTGTATCTAGTTAACTGTATTGATTGGTAATGGAACACACTTTCTTAGTTTTTTCACCATGCACTGTATTCCTATTTTTCTTTCTTCTTTCATTTGTTATGGTTAAAAAATCCATTTAAAAATAGGATTGAACAGGAAGTCGAACATGTCGGCTCTACTTTAAAGTACTTTCGTGTATAAAAGTGTAGCCAATGTTAATAAACTAGGTTGGATTCTGCGATGCGAAAGTCATCCCGTTAGCAACGGGTCCATGAAGATTAAAACTCACGACAAAGTATACCAAAGAGCCAGGGGTAAAGTCCCTTTCTACTTTGCCAATGTCTGCATTCTTACCGACATAAAGGTGCAGATTTCCTTGTACCAGTTCAATGTAAGGGTGGACCTTTCCAAAACGACCTGAAGACTTCTCAACTCGAATTCGTCCTTTACATTCGAGCAGTTTCCTCCGACTGTCTATCCGCCAGAATCGTGACACTTTACCAGAGTCATCTGTAGAATAGTCAGTTTCCCCTTTGAATAAAGCATTACGGGTGATTAGACGAGACATCCCTTGTCCGTCCTTTCCTACAAACAAGGTAGACTGTGTGCTTCGAAAATGATTCTGAGACTTTTCTCGACACATCCGCAACGATTTGAGGTACTTCGCGGCGAATTCAAGAGAGTTACCGTCAAGGATATTCAAAAAGTAAATGACCATCTGATAGAAATAAGGCATGCAATCATTTGGGAAGGCGTCCCGCCATCTCTCACTCAAAGTAAGCCCTTGGTCGAGGGTGTAGCTTCTTAGCCCAGTTACCAGCATACAAACCTTCATTAAGTGGTAAGCAAGCCGGTATTCATTTTCCACCAGAACAAGTTCTTCCAGCAGCTTCAACAAATACTGAAGTTTTTCAGGGGACAGTTCAGTTGGCTCAGTGGAGCTCAGAAGGAAGTGAGCCTGGAGCCTCTTGAGTTCTACCTGCGATGACTTCTGAAAATTAGGAGCACTGCAAAGAGTCTTGCAAAGTTGGATTAAATCTTCTGCATCTCGTCTTCGTCCAGGTACGAAAACGTCCTTTTTGAACGTCATCATCAGCGACAAACGGGCGTTGTTACTGAGCCTCTGCGTTTCCTCCGGATCTGTTAAGTTAGGTACACTTTGCACAATTCCATCCACAATATCCAATAGTTGAAAAGAATCGCTGACACAGGTGCGAAAGAAAGCGGGTGATTCGTTGGTTAGAAACTTCAAGGTCTTATCTGAATCGCGATTACATTTGTTTTTCATGATCCAATCAATACAAGCCAACCAAACTTCAACCTCGCCAATCAAGGGATGGGGATATGTAGGAGGAAAGTTACGCGCCTCGCGGTAGGCGGTGAGCACCTTACTGGCCAGTTCTTCAACAGTCTGCAAATCTTTAACTTTGCGAGTATTGAACTTGTGCTTCATTTCCAAATACAGGACGACACCTTTCGTGTGATATAGGCTGCGTAATCGCATCATCGACTTGTTGGCTTGGAACGCTTGTTGCATGACTGTTTTTGCTTCTGTGAAAGATGGCGGTTCTTTCTTTGCAAGGAATCTTGCTGCGTTGGCAAATATTGCGGCGTCGTTAGTTTTCGCAGCTGCTTCGCAGAATACCTTTCCTGCGAGCTCTGGATTGATCCGTTTGAGGTCTTCAAAAAGGATTGAAAATTTAAGCTTCCTTCCGTACTTGTTGTACAGGAACAACTCTTCAAACAGGGGTAGGAAACTTTCGTGTTGGTAAATAGGAAACTGAAGGAACTTCCTCACTACTCCAAAAAGATCACACTCTTGTGCCCGGAAAACCTTTCTTAGCACCAAATCCGCCACCAAGGGATGCTGAAAAGTGTATTTCTCGGGTGCCGTCTCCCTTGAGCCACTGGATCTCCCTCTGGGGAGGAGCGGTTCTGCTGGTATCATTAGGTTAAGCAAGTGCTCTGTGAAAAGCTGTTTGATGTCTTCATAAGTAGTCGTTTTCTCAGTTGAACATCAAGGATAAACCTTTTAAAGGCTTCGTAAAGGAGCAATGCTGGTGTCGCATGATTTGCGTATTTCTGTAAGAATGCGACTACCAAAGCAATTTCTTGTTGAATGCCTCCCATTTCATCTAGGGTGTCATCTATTATCTTCTCCAGTTTAGGACGAAACTCCTCCATCATGGAAAGAAGAGGGAAATGAAAAACACGGCACAAATTAGGTTTTTGGTTTCCACCTAACGATTGAGCAATGTATTCCTTATACTTGGACTGAAACTCATTAAGATCAGCCAATGAGTCTTCCAGTTTCACGTTCACATCAAATACGTAGTGAACATTTGATGATTCCTCCCTTTTTCAGGTCTTTGATCCGTGTTGACAACGCAACAGGAGGGCTCGTTTACCTTTGTTACATAGCATCCGCACAAGTTTGTTTGAAAGGCCTTCAATCATCCCTGACTGCTGTCCATCAATTAGAATCACTGGGGAAGTCTGACAGATTTCTTCCAGTGCTGATATTCGGTCAGCAAATTTGTCTGATAGCGTGTTGTCCTCGTCAAAATAGTGGGGGGAGCTTGAAATTTTCAAAAAGGCACAAGGATACGTTGTGTGAAGATCCCACATAACTCTGCGGGCGATCGTTGAGCCACCAGTTCCGGGAGAGTGCCTAATTTCTACGATCAAGGATCGTGTCAAGCCCTGATCAAGAAGACGTTGAACATGGGTCCGGATTTTCTTGCTAATCTCTCTTCTTGCGTCGTGATTGTCATAGAGACTTACAAGTGAAATTTGGTTTCCTGAGATAAATGATTTTCTGTGTTCTTCAAAGAAATTCTCCGCTTCAGTTGGGTCACCAGAAAATTCTGGCAGGCTTTCACATCCCTGATTCAAAATTTCAAGGTGTTCGTTGAGGTAAAGAAATTCATTTTGAGTTAGCTTGGCAAGAACTCCAGCTTGCGATGAAGGCATTCGGTATTCTTGTGCTGTCGATGCACGTAGCATGTCAGACAGACCCTGACGGATAATTTTCGAGTTCAAGTCAAAGTGGCGCACTTCAAAATGCTTTGTAATTAAATGACCAAGATTGTGTTTGAAGGAGACAAGCCTTAACCTGAATTCATCGAAGTTTTCGACAAGACGACTTAATGTTACTTGCAAGTACGGCAAGGTCACATGGCGAAAAGGAAGAATAAGGCACACGATCGGCTTCTGCTTGTCAAATTTGTCAGGATCAGAACAGCAGCTGAAGAGCCTGGTGATTTGTTTAACTGAGGTAGCCTCCCATTCCGGAAATGACAGTGCGCTACCCTCAGCGTCGCTCTGTCTGCCATTAGCAAAGAGCCACTGAATCTTCTGGGGATCGATTTGACGTAACATACTACTCATTGTACTTTTCTTCAACTCTGCTGGTGTGATCATACTGACCAAGTTACTTTGTCCCTCCATCGACGTGAATTCGCGATAGAACCCTTTTTCTTCTGACATTGGATCAAAGTCCAAGACCATCCTCCATGACACACCTCTAAGAATAGAAAAGCACTCCAACTCTTCAAAAGGAAGTGCATCTGTAATAAGAATGTACTGATTCTGGTTAGGCTCAAAATTTCCAACAGTCTCGCAGAACTTAATCCATTCATCCCAGTTTGGACTGCCAAGTTCTTTTTGCCCGAAAGTACCTGTATATACAGCTTCTGTTGATTGATTTTTAAGGACGGTATCCAGTTTGTCCACAATGACACCCAGGGTTTCCTTCAAATAAGCTTCTTTTGCTTTTTCTTTTAAAAACAGCTGTCTGTAATACTCTCCCGAGAAGAGGACTTCATCTAAATCAAAACAATAAAGGAATACTTCAAACATGTGCAGGATATTATATCTCAAATTCAATTATTTCCCATCTTTTTCAGATCCTAATCTAACATAAAGAAAAAATATTCATGTTTTGCAGAACCCGATTAAAATATCTTTCTTGCTTTGTCATAAGTCTTCCGAATCGTTGTGGATCAGCCGTAATTATTCGAATTTTGGGAATTCCCAAAACAAGTATATATATAGAATCGAAATCTTCCTACAGTTAGTTTAATATATAGATTTAGCCAGGGCTAAAAATGAAGCCTCCGTTTCTATACTTGTGATAACAGGAATCAAATTTAAACTAATAACATGAACTCAAAGCCGAAAAACCAAAAAGGTTTCTAGGGTTGGGATTTCTGTCTTAAAGGGAAGACCTAAAAGGAAAATTAGGTCGACATAGGCACTTTTGTGTTCCTGTAAGCCCATTATATTTTATTTTATTACATTATATTTTTTAAACGGGCTTGGACGAACAGTTGTGAGTAGCCTTTCCATTTTTACAGCCTTACAATATCCGATTGAAACTTTTCCCGTAAGGTGTATATTTTCTTTGAGGACAGACACATAATAGGAAAGCAAACGATAACCTTTTTCGCTATTCATAACTATAATCCAATCTCTAACCTACTCAAACTGTGCGGTTCGTGCTCAGGTGTTGTACAGTGCACTGCTAAGAAATGTGCGGTAGACTTATGTTAATTACATTACAAATTATAAACGTTAATAACACAGCAACTCACAACTTTTTAAAAAATAACAAATAATAAAGACAAACTCGGGCTCGAAAAGCCGACGAGTCTGTTGTTAGAATAGAGGAGAACTCTTTCATATTTTAGATCAGCTCACTTTTTCAGCGAGAATAAATAGTAGTAAACAAACAACTGAAAACAAACTTCATTCAAGCGGTTTCAGCTGTGTTCATGCAAAATTCTTGAACGGCAAGTAATGAATAAGAAAATGAATAGTTCAATGGAACATGTGTAGTTTATACACAAAAACAACGCTTAACTTTTAATTCAAGAATGGGGAGTAGCCCGTCTGAAGTGTTTCTAAAAATCTCACGATCGTGTTTTGAGTTAATGTTATGAGCAATGACAGATGAATAACTTAATTACTTGAAAATTTTTATTCAAAAACCCATAAGTTAATCCTAAAGAGCGATTCGCGTTCGGTAACACTAACTGGATCGTGGATCGGTTCACGCAAGTTAAAGTAAATCGGCTGAGCACATGGCAAAAAATAAATTACAAATGCACATTTCAGGGCCACCCAACGTCAATTTTCGGAAAATATATGTTGGGAAGTCGATTTGAGATCTAGAATTTTCGGGACATTTGTTGTAAAATTTCTTGCTTGCCTGCCTTTCCTAGGATTTTCGAACATCTAAAAAATGGTATAATTGCCCGTTTTTAACGGTTTTTACCCTAAAAAGGTCACCTAGATTTTCGGGAGCCTTTTTTCTGGCTGAAATTTTCGAGAAGGTAAGTTTTGATCCCTCCAATTTTCGGATGACTAGACTTTCAGCTAGGGAATCCGAACAGATGAAAACTTTTTAGGGGATAAAAATATACCAATATCTACCGTTTTCTTACTAAAATACGTTTAACAATGCTATGTTTAAATGGTTTTGAACTATATTCTCGTTGTGTGCCCGTGACATTTTGTGGTTTTCTTTCACGCCGATGTATAAATGAGGAAAACGTCTATGAAACCTTTATAAATACAAACATTCCCTTTTAAAAACGTACTTTCCTTGACCATAGAGTATACAGAATGTATCTCAAGTTTCTTCAGAAACCTCGCTGTTTAGGTTGGTTCAAAACAAGCGAGGCGCTCTGATCCGCGGTGAAGAACACAAGGTTGAATTCCTCGAAAGACAGTTTCATAGCGAAAAGCTCTCGTTTGTCCACAAAAAAGAAACCGAGCATTCTTTTGAACTTTCTCTTTCCATTGATGTCTTTATCGGCGTATTTTTAATCTTGAAATACAAAACTTTAGTCTTGAAAACCACCACATGATGAGCGTGCGCCAGCCATTTTGTTGATGGATGACATTTACTAACGTGTCAAATCCGCTTCTTCCCCCACCCCCTATGTAGTTGACCATGTAACTTTTGTGGGGGATTGGGGTATGAGTGATTTACTTTTGTTAAGAATTTTTTTCTCAAATCTCTGGAGTTAGAGTTTTTTTCCCTGACATATTACAGCGTAAGATTTTTTTTCAGCATTATATACGTCACAAGCGATATTTTTTTGTGTGCAGGACATTGTTTTTTCCAGTTATATACTTGAGAGCTTTTTCCCCTCGAAATCAGTCTGCAGGATATTTTTTTCTAAAAATCACCCATAACCCCATCAAAAGTCAAATGGTCGGCCCCTAAAATGCACCAAACATTTGCTCAGTTAGCAGATTCCGATTTGTCAATCATTTCCAAAGCCTTTTGAAACAATAGGGGACAAAACTCTCTAGGAGGGAGGGGAGGAATTCGTTTCTACTTACCTCTACCCGGAGCGTCCGTACGGACGCGTACTGTGACGTCATAACCAAATTTTTTCGGATGGGTAGTTCACCAAATTTTCCTAGGTATGGAGCTCCACGCTTGCGCGCGCTTGCGGAGGCTCCTCTACTAGGAACCTAAAGCAGCTTTATCCGTAAAGTCAAGGAAAACGCTCCTTTGAATCAATTTGAATTTGTTGCAGTGTGATTTCCATGCAACTGAATGTTCGGCCTGAGCGCGAGTTCGTATGGAAGGTTTTTTAGGAACGTTAACCAGTGTATCTTCAAGTTTCCGATATAAATAAAACCTTGACTTTAATCTTCGAAGTTGTTGATCACAGGCGGGCGTTAACTTCCGCGTTTACCCACAACCGCGAAGATTCACTAAGAGTCACTTTTAAAATTGCTCCCAAACGTAAAAGAAATGGTAAATTCTACTTCGATAGCAGATAAATGCCCGAGGCACCTATCGGAAGATTGAGTCGAGGGGCGTTGCTGAGGCCTTCAAACCCTGACCCCGCCTAGGGGAAGCAATCTTTTTATTTCGGTACCGTGTTAAAGACAGCTAATTTTGTTACTCCGCTTAAGGGGATTAGGGTACGTCCCTGCTTAGGCACATAAGAAGACCCTTTTTATGTCTGTTCTTCTAAAGCCGAAAGGGGTACTTTCTACGGGGTCGGACAAAGATAGCGTGTTAAGTATCACATAGCGCAGATTTAGCAAGGACAACGTGACTACAGTGACGACAGCGCGCAGATCTAAAACCCGAATTATCCAATAGCAGAGTAGCAAACTGGACAACGGAGTCGCGAATTTTTTACAATTTGCAATTTTTAAATCAGTTATAGTTGGTTCTCTAAGAACCTCTGTTTCAGTCTGTGCGCCATTTTTAATAATTTCGATTCGAATAAATGGAATCCTGTTGTCAACGGGAAATTCAATAGTGAAAGAAGGAAAGACTGAGGTAGAGACTGTTAAGGGTAGTAAGAAAATCAGTCGCCGCTTAAGTGTTAAACATTCGGGCCAAAGATCGTTAACGTATCATCTGCGAAACGCAGGCATTGCATCATCGCAAGCAAGCTTCTCTTCAAGATGGCACGTAAAAACATTACTTAACTAGACTCGCCGAAAGGCGACTTTAACTGGGCTACTATAAAAATGGGCTGCCATATTTGAAGTTTGAACAAACCTCAATCCCTCTGTAACATTAGACCAAAAGCGGTTCAAGAATCAAGACACTAAAATATTCTAGATGTAGGGACAGTAGGACGGTAGATTGTTTTTAGTTTCTTTTTTACTGTTATAACGACCGTAAGAATCAAAGATGGATGAAAAATGGTATCTGTATTTCCAAAGAAGTTAAAATGAAACTAGAAACTATCAAAACTATCGATAGTTCGCTACACTATCGCGATATTTATCGATGTTTCATTTTTACTATTGATCCATCGCTATCGCAGCGTTAGTATCGCGATTAATCGATACTTCGATGTAATGTTACAGCCTTAGTTGTGTACGTAAAAAGGCGATGCATGTTAAAGCGACTTGCAAACGGGTTATGATGTCTTAGAAAAGAGTCCAAATTACTACATTTTTGTTTTTTTTTTTCTGAAAGATTTATTTCGTCAGAAGTAATATAATCTATAATTCTTGGAATGAAAAAGCTATAATATTTATTTCGTAATCAACAAATTCATTCCAAGCAGTTCCAAGCTTATTTCACGGTAACAGCGGCGGTGGAGCGAAATAAAAAGTGGGGGTGTGTGGCGGGGGTGGCTGAAAATAAAATCGGACATTCCATTTTTTCCGCCTCCCCCCTCCCCCTCCCAAGAAGAGGTAATAGGCGCCTCTATCTTTTTTAAGACGCCGACAACATTTTAAACCCCTCCGATGCAATCTTCAATGGTGTCGACAACCAAAACTACATAGGATAGCCTTCCATAGGGGGTGTGGGGCGCAAGTGCAGATAAAAAATGATATGTCCCAATTCAACCGGCTACGTTCGCTGTTTCTTGTTTCAAACAGACGAGTCGGCGTTTACTTGAACTTTCCAAAATACTGTTTTTAAGTCCGAATAAGTTGACCGTGGCAAGGCGAATTCTTCACCAGCTGGGCGGCATCCAGAGAGTGAGCGCTTTGCCGGAGGACCCGACATTCAACCAAATAAATAATTAATACGACAATCCGTCGTACAAGAGAATTTGCGTTGAGTTCAGAGAAGAGCCAACGGCAGACTTCAGTTACACGCACGATCAAAATCATGGCCTTGGTTAGACAGAAGTTCTTGGCCCTTTAAGAAGTGGATGAATCCGCCGGCTATGTTGTCAAGCCCTTAAAGTCAGCGTTTTGCAGACGAGAGCGGGGCTGAGAAGGGCAAAGAAAACATTCTTGGATTCAGAAACAAACAGGGTGCCGTTAGGCAATTTGATTGGTTTGTGACCAACAAGGCGAACGGGCTCACGCAGGTAGGGCTGCATTCTTGTCGATGGAGGTTGGGCGAAAGAAGTGCGGGGCGAGTTCCTCGAATTGTTGGAGGACGCTATCAGGCAGCCAGACCTTGTCAAGAGCGTGCAGTTCTACCAGCTCACTGTAGACGAAGCAAGGTGCGTCTTGATTTAGCAGCTGCGCCTGGGACGTGGCTGATGTCTTCTCGAATGGTGATTAATACAGAGAGAACAGTTGCCTACAATAGCAAGCTCTGGCAGGCAACACCAAGCTTGAAGCTTGGGTTGAGCAATGACGTTAACAAAGAGACAAAAAAAGGAGGGTCTGTGCCTTATGGACGGCGGCTCTTCAAAAAATTAACCCGCCAAACAGCCATCCTTCCAATCAAATTCATAAGGAGGCGCACAGGAAGGCGCCCGCTCCAGCGACTACAAAGTCACGACGTAAACAAGGTGATGCTCTTTGTGGGCGCAGTCATTTTGACTGGGCTGTTAAATTGGAAGCGTTAACGGTTGCACTTGAGGAACTCTCCCATTAAAAAGGCGACCACGGCAAGAATTATTGGCCACGTGCATTCTAACAGAAAGGAAATGGGTTTCCCAGTTGCTTTTAAAAAACACTCACGATCGAACCAATCAGGCCGGGGAGAATAGAACCGATTTTGCCTATTGCCAGTAACCCTTTACCGATGCTCTTGTTCACTTTTTAAGGTCACAGCGCCGATCGTAACTCAAGCGCAAGGACAACGGTGGTAAGGGTTAAGCCACACCTTTTAAAGATCTCTTTCACTCGCTCACGTAGCAGAAGCTTTTCCCGAAGCTTCTCGTTTTGTTCTTCAAGAGCCACGACGTTTTGTATCTCTTCTTCTACTTTTTCAAGTGGTCTCTCCCTTACTTCCGGTTGTTCATTGTCATCGTTAGCAATTTCTTCATTTGCAGCTATTTCTGCATTGCGCCTGTCGATCTCCGCTTGATTTTGAGCGATAAGCTCTTGTCTTGAAAGGCCGACAAACTTTGGCAAGCTTTTTCTCACGGACATGTCTTCATTGAAAATCTGAGATTCACCTCCCTTTGGGCCAATGCCCACGATTTTCCCGGGGTACTCATCCTTGGGAATTTAAAGATTTAGTCTTGTTCGTCTTTCTGAGTCATATCCGGATAAAGATCTTCTAGCCTGGACTGTGCCTCGATTATTCTTTGATCTTCAGCAGCAATAATAACCCTCCCTAGGGCAGCGCCTTAGATGAAAGAGGTTTCTTGAATGTGCCCTCTTTCTGGCGGCCTGTTCCGCTGGTAGTGCGCATGGGACAGTTTTCACCGGAAAGGCCAGGCATTGAGGAAGAACCGACTGCGCCATCATCATCATCGTCGTCGGCGAGTTCCTCATGGGGGATGAGAGGATCTCATGTTTTTTTATATATTACATTTTTAAAAAACATATATAACATGCATGGCATTGCAATCCAACCACCTTACAACACACTATGAAAAAGAGCAGTGAGGCAAACCCCGGTGAGAAGCTCGGTGCCAAAGCTTAACAAAAATGAAGTCATTGTGCCGGGGTCATTGTATCTGCCTTTCAATATCGATCTGAACAGTGGCCACGCAGATAACGTTTTAGTCCAGAACGTCTCAAGGGCGCTTTAAGTGGACAAATTCACTGTGAAATACGGGGGCACCACACTCCAAGACACATTCGACTATGATATTTAAAAAATTTTCGAGGATCTTTTCCTTCTTGTGGATGACGGCAAGAACAGGTTGCTGGAAGGGATTCAAAGTGAGGCCCTTTGCAAGATTCGCTCGGGCTCTGGGGACAAAACACTGCGGGCGAGGACGCCGAAAATTGTCTAAACGCTGTTTTCAGCAACAAGTACCGCACCCGACTGGAGCATCAATTTTTGACAGACCATGGGGTCCTTCACCCACTGGAACTGTACAGTAATCTTATTTTCGAGCTGACACTTGCTCGGAGTCTACAAGCTGACAAACATTCAGCTGGAGTACGAAACTATCCACAACGACGTGCTGGCCAAGGATCGCAGGCAACCAATGTTTATTCCAGCGCTAAGGCATTTCCTTACGATCATATTATGCGAGAAGAGGCAACCTTTGCAAAAAAGCACGGACAGCAGGCTGGACATCAAAGTAAACCCACAGCACCAGTCACTCAAGGCCATACTTGCTTTTCAACGAACCCTACAAAGCAGGCACCCGAGGCACAGAAAAATACGTTTATCCCGACATCACCAAAAGGAGCGTCACGGTGAACGGCTCTCACAAAAGGATTTATGACAACAGAATTGTGGGTCATGACATGTGGCAGGAGATAAGCCGGTTTCAATGAATATCATTGAACATGAACATCATTAAATATAGGATGGACCCAAACATAACATTCCTTTGAATGCCCTGATAACTGGGGCCGAAAAACTCTGGCAAAAAACAATTCCTTGTAAATCAGCTGCGGGGTCCTCTTCGAGACAAGTTTGATTATCGTTTTGATATGCCCAACCTTAATCCACAGCAAAACCTACAAGGGGTTTGTGGACAAGACCCCTTTATTTTTGTGATTGACTGCCCCCAAGAAGAGGTTGAACTCTGGCTTCAACTGTGCAGTTATTTCTTTGAGGGAACAAACACGCTTTATGTTTTGGACGGTTGCCCTGCGTCGAAAGACGTGAAAGGCCGAACAGGCCAGCTGGTTTCTTTCGGCTTTTCAAATCACCATGCAGGCATAAGAGTTTCGATTCCGACCAGCAGGTCACCAGCATTGAAAAACCCTTCCTCAAAAATGTTGTTGCTATTATTCTGTTTTACCATCCGTCGGCCAAAACCACAGAAACCTTCTTTGAAGACTGCGCCGGCGCACTTTGTTCTGAAGAGTACAAGGAACTGATACTTGAACTGGAAAAAACAAAAATTTTTCTATCCAGTGTTGCCCTTCCCCACCCCTACGGAATCAAATTTTTCTATTACTATATACCGCATGTCTGAACAGGATGCGGAACAACAAGCTCTCAACGAGGTCATGTATCGCTAATTAATGCCCCGGCCCAAGCATTGATCATGAGTACTGATTTGCATTTTTTTTTAAATTAACGAGTGCTATGCCATGACCGGTAATAAACATCCTTTCTCTTTTCAAAGCCGCTCTGCAGCCATATTGATTGCAGCGCAGATCGTGATTCGGGAATTTTCTGTGCTGCTTCACCACTGTCAAAACGCTTTCCACGGCAGCGCTCAACAGCCCAAATTTGCAACTGCACAGCTCTTTTGCAGCACTTCTTGAAGTCACAAAACTTATAAAATCATTCCGCATCGATTGAAAATAACACTATGATCGAATCACCTCGATCAACGCAAAAACGCAAAACCTTCTCCATTCGCAACGCCTTCTGGGTTACTGGGTTAATAATTGATAGTGTTCATTTTTAGACGCAGAAATCTACCTATTTTATAAACTGGGCACAGACAGCCCAGTTAATAAAAAGCCAAGGGGCGAAATCATGGCCGCACCATCTAATTGTCCATTTAATATTTGGTTAGTAGTCGCGATTTTAAGTAGCCTGCGAGGTGTTCCTTTTGAAGGTTCAGAACATAGGTTTGGTTTAACCCGGAAAAAAAAGGCCCATTCAAAGGGACCTTTAATTAAAATATTTCAAACAGACCCAACTTATGGCTGTATCACGCCTCTACTCCAAGCCGGTTGAGAAAAGGAATGCAGTATACTTAAGCAGGTAGGTGAACAGCTACTAATTTTTTATGGATCGTATACGAAAGGGGTACCTTTGCTGGCAAAAATAGTATTAAAAAAGTGAAGGGTTGTTCCTCATGGCAGAGCCTCCCAATATCAAAGTTGTTGAGTACCCCATGGTAGATTGCAAAAAACGTTTGGATCAATTTAGGTTTATGGGAAACTGCCCACCTACCCCTCCTGTAACCCAACATTTTGCCCTATGTGAGAAGTAAGTGTTCATGTTAACTTAGGGGAAGGGTAGGTGGGCAGTTTCCCAGAAACCTAAATTGATTCAAACTTTTTTGGGGGAAACGCTTAGGCGTAGATGGCGCTTTATCTTTGATTACTGAAAATACCTGACTGGTGAGTGATCTCTGCGACTTCATTGGGATGTGCACCAAGTTTAACGAAGTTTCCAGACAAAATCGACCAGAAGGCGTTGAAATGCAAATCAGTCATTTTTTCTGTTGAAGGATGTCCTAGCAGGCTGTTGCGGCAGTTCCTCAATTCCCTAAGAGCAAGTGTGAAACCAGGTTTCTTGTTAATCTCCACCATGCAGTTCTTAGAGTAGAGAAGTGCGGTTGTCATTAAGGAGAAATCCTATTCGTTAATATCTCCTTTGTTGAAAATGGCTTCTTGTTCTTTATTGAGCTTCATAGTTCCTTTGTCATAGCCAGCTGCATCAGAGGGCTGATTGCACCACAAAGGATTGATATCCATAAACAGCTTTCTGAGTGCTCGAAGGCCCACCCCATAAATCAGCTTGAAAATGCACATGATATTCCTCCTGAAAACAAAAAATATAAACTCCATGTTCTATACGCATTAAAGGTTTTAAATTGGGAAAAACGCTACTAAACGGGACAGTCAACACCTGCATATAAAAAAGCTATTGCCGCGTGAGAACGTACAGGCTGAAGTTTGAAAAAGTAGACCCTGAGGCCATTAAAACCATTTTATAGGAACCCATTTAGTCTGAAAGTTGAAATAGGCTCCTATTAATAAGTCCTGCCTAGCTTAATCAGTTATAAACTTGAAGACAGACATTGTAGGAGCTCTATTTACTTTTTCTGTGACTACAAAACTGTACTTATCTGATCCAATACTCCAAAAATATTCTGATGAAAGCTTATTTGCAGTAAACAATTATGCTACCATTTGTTATGTTAGAATTCATTTGTTCTTTCATTCAATTAATGGTAAAGTAGTTTTATACAACTGTTTTATATTGCCTGTTTCAATCCCATAGACAGTGGGTCGTTACAACTCACAGTAAAACAAAGGGAAAAAAAGTACATTACTCAAAAACATAATAAAGCATGTTTCATTTTCTGAGATCATCAGTTGCGACATAAACAATAGGTTTCAAACTTCTCATAATGCATTGATCAATATTTCGGTTATTTTATGAATTAATATTAAATAACAATGATTATGTGATGTGTTTCTTGAGACTTTGCCTCAATCACTACAATAAAAGTTTTTAGTATATACTAAAACAGTGGATAGTGTTTTTCGCGCGCTCTGACTGGCTACTCAATCAGTGAATATCCTGCACTATTCACTGATTCACATCCAGTTCATCTGAGCAAGACGCCAAACGCCAACCTCGCGTAAGTTGCGAGCAAAATGCCTTCCCGGTTTGCTGCTGTATCAAATAAAGAAATTTCAAAACTAATCAAGCAAGCTGTTTCCAAAATACACAAAGAAGGTGACGAAGTTCAGTTTGGAAGTTTTAATAGGTAAAGCTTTGTCTTTTTGACTCGAATTTATCGATAAAACCGGTAAAAAGTTTTTTGTTTACAAATGCAAATTAAGCTTAAGTCTTGCATGACTTTATTTAGTTGACTTGTTCATAAATAAACTCAAAACTAAATTTAATAATCTTTTTTTAAAGAATGATTTTAAATACAAAAAGAATTCACAACTCCTTTTGCAGAAATTTCCCCGCAGCAGCTAAACAAATGCCTTCAAAAGTTTTATTTGTTGGCAACAGTGTTTGAGTTAAAAATCATCATTAATTTCTCTCCTCAATTATCTCACTGTTTTAGTATATACTAGGTAAGACAATTATTCACCTCAGTGTAGGTGGCTGTTGGTAGATATTTACCTTGCTGCTTCGCAGCTCGGTAAATAGCACGACTAGCCACCTCCACTTCGGTGAATAATTGTTATTTATTTTATTTAATATATTTTATATTTTCTTCGGTGTAACAACTACTACCTCATTTTATCCCTCCGATTAATATCAGCGAAAATGGTATCAATCAGAAAACCTCACCTTTAATGCTATGTTATGTCACTAAACAGTGTGTTCTTAGTTGAGTATGAAGTATTTCTACCTACGTTTCTCTAACCGAAGAGGGGTCAGATAGATAATTTTCATCAACTTCTTTATGCTTCTCATCTTGCTTGACCACATCATCTCCACTTGAAATCACGATTGCTTTGTCTTTCTGATACATAACATTATCCGTGATCTTCGAGTCGCTTGCCTCCAAGTTGGTGGCTTCAGAAACAGGAATTGGGGCCTTGTTGTATTGCATCAACAAAGGAAAAGCATTTGATCCAACACTTGTATCTTCCGTAGACGTAGCTGGATAACCGACTTTGTTGTGACGAGGTGAACGACTCCTCAGTCCCCTCAGTTGTGTTGTCGTATCAAATACCCCTTCATCATCTACTTCCTCCTTCCCATCACTTTTCTTCACAGAAGTTCTTCCCTGGACGAGATCTCTGTTATTTTCTTCGATGACATTCTCATCAACCCTCCTTTGGGGTGATTGGATCTTAACAGCAGCAGCTCCATGATTCCTTCTTGAAGGAATCTTGGCGACACAGGAGGTGGAGTCTGGTTTATCCCCGACAAGGTTATCTTCATCGCAGGTGGACCCGACAGGATCAACGTTTGTAGCTTTTTTATTCTTCTTTCTCTTTTTCCTCTTTTTCTTTGTGTGAGACGTGCATTCCTGAGGACTTTCGTGCTCAAATGATGGACGTCCTGATCGATGCTCGTCGTCTTTTTCACTTTGATCTTCTGTTTTAGCTGTTACTCTCGTTGCTGGGCATGAGGAGGCTGCATGAGTGATGATCGAAAGGAACATTAACTTCAGTGTTATCGCGAGTTTTCTCAGAACCCTGCCCTGATACATTTTCAGCCGAAGCATCTTCCTTCTTCTTATTCTTTTTTTTCTTCTTGCTCTTCTGTTTGTTTAGTCCGTAACTTATACTGTTGTTGTTTGCAGAGTCCACCGTTATTAATGATTCATATACTCTGTCGAGTATTGGTCGTTCGACAAGATGCTCTGAGCTTTCATTATCATTTGCTGATGATTCGCTTGCCGAAGGCGTGGTTTGGCTCGTAAAAATTAAATTCCCCATTTAGGACGTCCAACGAATTGTTCAACCGAATGTCGGCATATTCAGCCTGCAAAATTTGATATTCGGTTCATTGAAACGAAAACTCCAGTAACATCAAAATTTGATAGTACATATATATCAATGCTTACTGTCTGGGTATTCTGCTGACATGTTTCCCTTGCTGTTGAAACATTTTCGCCTTTAAAGCGTTTTCTCAGGCAGGTTTCTTCCAGCCGAGCGAGAGGCAAATTTCTAAGGCACTTCCGCTTTCACTCTTGCGGCATACTTTTCACAAGATTACAGCTGAATAACCCGGATTTTCAGACATGATGCGACGGTCATGATTCGACCTGTCATGATTCGACACTAATCACGTGACGTGTCGCTTCCCAGTACGTAAAGGGTTGCAAAAATAATTGAGAGTTCTGCCGTGGGATCCGAAACAGTGAGAGAAAGATCTGGCTGGCAAGGAAAGCTTAGCACTAAAGGACATAAGTGTAACGAAACTAGTATCCCGACAAATGCGTTTTATCTGAAGAGGAAAGCTTTGTTGCCTGGAAAGCGGCGACATGATACGGAAAATTATGATAACATGTGATACCTGGAGTTCGATTGCCGAGTTCGAATGTATTTATGTAGGCAGCTGTGACGGCGATTTCATAATGACCGAAATATTATCAATACGGCGAAAAGCTAAATAGTCCGATTGTTTATCGTTTAGTCTTCTTCCGTATGACAAGGTTTCGGTATTTTGCAGTCGGTGAATACCACCAGCAATTTACATGTAACAGTGATGCAAATTTAGTTAACGGGGAGGCAAATTTGTATTTCTTCAAGCTGGTACTTTTTCGACCTTACTTAGCTTCTGCATGGTTAAAAAATAACAGGAAAACTTGACGTTTTGCGGAAGAAATCAACAGATAAATTGATCAGTCTGCCGTTGTGAAAGAATTTGCTGGAGAGTTTGAAAGTTTTGTTTTGTCAACCATTGAAAAATATCACAATGGTCGGTCCTTGACCTATGCCCCTAGTGAGCACAAATAAAGAAAACCATACATAAAAGAAAGCACATTTGTTTTTATTGAAAAAGGGTATTGTTTGTCTTTACACTAGGCTGTTAAGTAAGACTTATGAGCTGCTAAGTTTTACTAAGCCAAAAATTAGTGTGTGAAGACCGTGAAGACCTAAGTAAAATCTCAAGTAACTTTACTTTGTATCTCATTAAAGTCGGAAAGTTGAAATGATTCAAGAAAGTTTCAAGCGACTTGCAAACCATCCTTTTTTTTAGCTGACTTGCGGTTTCTTGAACTTTGACTCAGGCAAAACATGTCAATCAATTAATTATGATGCGTGGGAAAATGACCTTAGTTAACCTGAAGTAAAAAAGAATCGGTTGTGTGAAGCTTTATTTTACTTGAAGTAATTAAAATTTACTTGTCTTGAAATATTTCTTAGCTTATTTAGGCTCTAGTGTAAAGACTACCAATTGATCGGGAAGTCCACACGCCCTATAACATGTATTGCGATTAGATTGCATGACTTGCATGAGAGGCTGCTGTCTGAAAAGGAGAACAAATTATGAATCACAGTCTTCCTTTTCTGAATCACAAGAGAAATTTTCAAGATATTATTAAAGTAACTTTTAGATTGTGTGCTTTGATTCCTGTAGGATATTCAAGGTGAAATACTGTACTGCTTGGTAACCTCTCGGTCAATCATAACGGTCGAATCATGTCTAAAATTCAGGGTGTATACACAGCACTGAAATCAGCTGTAAAGTCCGTAAACTTCGTTCGCTCATGTTTTGCATCGCTTCATCGCGTGCTTTCGGCTACGTCGGAGTAGGCTTAAGAAAAAAGTACAGTAAAACAAGATGGGATACACGTCCGACTATCACGTACAGCTCACAAGAATGGTTCTTTACACTAGGCTGTTAAGTAAGACTTAAGAGCTGCTAAGTTTTACTTAACCAAAAAATTCGTGTGAAGGCCTAAGTAAAATCTCAAGTTACTTTACTTTGCATCTCATTAAAGTCGGAAAGTTGAAACGATTCAAGAAAGTTTCAAGTGACTTGAAAACCATCATTAAAACCGACTTAGCGAACTCGCGGTTTCTAAGCTTTGAGAAAGGCGAAGCATGTCAATCAATCTTAATTATGTTGCGTAGGAAAATAAGCTTAAGTAAACCTGAAGTAAAAAAGATACGTTGTGTGTGAAGCTTTATTTTACTTGAAGAATTTCAAATTTACTTGTCTTGAAATATTTCTTAGCTTGTTTAAGCTCTAGTGTAAAGACTACCAATGTCATGAATCTCGCTCCAGATCTTAAGTATAAGTGAGATGTAGGACGTGGTCACGTGATGTAAAAAGACAGATGTCTTGCCGTATCTTTTGGGTAAGCATTGTGGTCTAGTTTGTTGCATGATGAGATGGACCAATAAAGGTGAAGGCAGCCTCTCCCAAGGCCAGCTCGCCCTATCACAGTGAGTGAAGGAGGCTTGGAATCGAGTGCGATATTCTCCCGTCTAGCGACAAGCTTGACGTTACGTCACCTCCGAAATCGCCGAGGACGACGGGAAACGAGGCTTGGAAGAGGGTACTGTGAACCAAGGGACCAGTTAGATTCTCGCATCTTAAAACTACGCAAGCTTAACCCATTCGCTCCTGGAGATTTTTTCAAAACGCGTTTTGAAGCTAGTCGAGTGGTTTTCTGGTCACTGTCGTGCTATAAAGAGCTAAAACTTACCACAAACCGCTTTACAGGTCGTACACTTCATGGCCTTCTGATCCAGATGCAAAATATCAGCTTGCGAAGTTCGGGCATGCGCAGAAAGCAAAATTTCGACAGTTTTTTGGTTTAAAAGTGACACAGCAGTCTCGACTTTTACTTTTCGCTTTCTCTCCTCCCCTCTTTTTTCGCTTTTCTTGCCTCATTTTTTTTTCTCTTGCTGGGCATTTAGTAGGCTTCATTTTGGTGGGAATAGTTTTTAGGAAAGCTTTTAGGATCCTAGGATTAGGTGAAAGAAAAGGTAGGTGGGCAATGGAACAAGATTTTCATGGAGATTTTCAGGTCAATGTTACATGGTTTTTTGCCTCTTTCTCCGGTGTCCTTGACTGAATTGTGCTCATTCTGGAATGGTTTGAAAGATCTCTTCACTCTACACAAGTTAGCGGGCAAAGTTGTCCTTGACCGTTAAAACTGATGACGTCACAAAGGGTAGAAAGGACGTGGATCCTCACGGGCGGTTACGGGCGGTTCAGGGGCGAATGGGTTAACAGACCAATCAAAATTAGCAGGCACGCGCACAGCCCGCGCCCTCGAAACACCCACAAGACAAGAATCTGATAATATACCTTCTTCTTCGCCAACGAACAGCGACGCATCCGACACCACATCTCTTGTTCATCTCCAAATCTCATTTACATGATCCAGTCTAATGCCGAGAAACAAAACGACAGCTCAGTGAAAGATTTGAAGAACACTGACGCTCCACAGAAAACGCCTTAAATCAACATCACTTTAACCATCCTACCGCCGTTGCAGACCACTTTTCTCTTCCAGATCATTCCATCAAGGACATAGGAATCATTCCGTTAGAACTATGTAATTCACACAGGGACGGTATCCGTAAGGCCCACGAAGGATTTTTAATTTCTAAAGGCGAAACACTTGAATCCTATGGGATGAACAGACGGGATGAATATGGTAGCCTTTTTATACAAATTTTCGTCTATTGTTTTTCTCCAACAATCACATTTTACTTTTATATTTGTTTTATATTAAATACTGTAACCGTTTATTCTATTCTCACGTAGCTTTTCTAGTCGCTGATGAAGACTAGTTTTGTCTAGTCGAAATATTGGACAAATAAATTTATAAATTACCAACCCCTAGCTGTCCGATCACCTTTGCCTGCAATTTTAAGTGCAATCAAAATCAGCAAAATCGATCATCAATAAACTTGTCGATAGATTTACGTGAGTTTTGTCGGTTATTGTCAATCGATTAGTTATACTTGTCGATTAAAGTCAATAATCAGCAAAAATTTTAGGATAGTGTTACGCTTTATTGGCGTGTTACACTTTGATCTGTAAGAAACGATCATCATCATCATCATTTTTATTAGCCTTTTTTTTTACAGCAAATTTTAGAGGATACAGCAGGTTGTTAGGCGAGGAGACCTCAAGAAACCACCAGGCTTATATAGAGAGGCCACCTCGACATCACAATATTACAAGAAATAAGGGCTGCGAAGAAGTGCGGCTAAACTAATTAAGTAACTATTTGAATAAAAACTCTAGCACTTTGTTCTTAAAGATAGGAAAGCTTGACAAGTTTTTAACAGATGCAGGAAGACAGTTCCAGTTTCTAAGTCCTTGGTAAATAATTGTGAATTTATTGATGTTCGTACAACAGGAATGCACTCGATAATTACTAGCCGTTCTTGTGTCATATCTATGGACTTGATTGTTTGTCATAAACGATATACTTGTGGTGTATCGCAAAGCTCAGTTCTAGGCCCATTACTCTTCCTAACCTATCTTAACGATACTTAAGAATCTTCTGATAAACTTCTATTTGCTGACGATACGAGCGCCTTATATGCTGGCAAAAATCTCAAGTCATTTGAGTTGACATTAAATCAAGAACTCTGCAAGTTGTTTGATTGTTTAACGGCAAATAAACTAACTTAGATCTGCTCAGTGAAAAATTACTTATCACCTTAAAATAATGATATTTGATAATGATCATAATACGAACGTGGCTCTAGAATGTAAAGAGTTTGTGAGATATCTAGAATCTAGAAATTCTAATTGACAATAAGCTGTCGTGGAAACATCATATTGACCATGTAGCTATTAAGATGAGCCGAACTGTAGTATTGACCTCTAAAGTACGGTATTTTGTACCGACACACACACCCTTTCAAATAATTATCGATCCCTTGTTACCTATGGTTTGGTAGCCTGTACCTTGCGAGCAGAGGCTACGTTTTCGCTCTGTGAGCTGTCGTGCGAAAAGTAACCTCTGCCGACAACCGTTCAAATCCGTCCAGAAATCTGGACGAATATATTAAAAAACGGGTTTTTTCCTGTTCTTGACCGGTTTAGAGCATTGCATAAGTCTCTGATCTTGCGTGAGTCTTGCGTAGCAGTTCAAAGTTGTCGCAATTTTTTTATTCCCGCGAAACTCGCGCCATTTGACGATAGACCTGGGCCAAGTTGTTCAAAGGTGGGTTAAGTTAACCCAGGGTTAGTGCGAGATTTGAATTCAGATTTGAAAGCTTAAAAAGCATTTCAGTTTTAATTCTTTTTGTCTACAAGTTGACGATTGGAAGCTTTAAAAATAACAGAGAAAATTAGCCGACAAAATGCTCTTAAACAAAAGAAAAAGACATCCATGTTGAATTTAGCCCCGGGTTAAGCGCTAATCGGCCTTCGAATAACTGGGCCCAGACGATTAAGTTTGCTTGCGAATCGCGTGACGAATTTCGCGCATGCACGATAGAAAATTTAACGGTTGCGGCAGCGGCAAGCAGCGGCTACTTTTCGCACGCCAGCTCACACAGCAAAAATGTAGCCTGTCACAAATTATGTGTGATACACCAGTTCCATTTAGCTTTAATTCTTCACTCCCCTGAAAGTATATTTCTTCACATGTTCATTTTTTTTGAATTCTGTACTCTGTTCAACACTTAAAGAATTCATCGACATCAATTCGCGTAAAAATTCGATGATCTACACTCAATCTACACACTCGATCAGCTCCACGACTCCGAACGACTACACAGTTCCAAGACTCTTTCAGATCACGTGACGAGTTTTCCCACCCCAATGACGCAATACGTTCCTAAAATAGCCTCTACTCGCAAGGTAGATGGCCTGGGGCTTAGCATGTAAATCTTACCTCGATAAGCTTCAAAAGCTTCAAGAGCGAGTTCTTCGCTTCTCATCTATTTTTCTCGGGTTGAAATCAGCATGCAATTTCTCTATTTATTGACGCTGGTGTTTTACCGTTAAATTCTCTTATTATGCATGAGCTTTTAGCTAACTCAATGTTTGAAACATGACACAGAAATGCTCCAAGTAACATTCAAGATCTCTTTCAAGATATTTCTGATATCCATTCTCATAAGACCCAATTCTCTGTCTCTAATGACAGTTTTACACATAGAGTTCCAGACTCTCGCCAATTCCTAGAATCGGAATGAAAATATGGAACAAAATTTCTTTAACATTGAGAAATCTTTTAAAATTTGCTTCATAAGGAAAATAAAACAAATACTTTTTGACACCCTAGCTTCAGAAGACTATTATATTGATCTCCAAGAAATCCTTCCAAAAGTTAAGTTGAACTTATTTTCCTCGTAACTTTTGGTTGTCATTATTAAAATCGTATTCGTGTAACAGTAGTCTCTAGCAAGAGATCATAATAGATCATAATCTGATCTCTTGCCTCTAGTTATTTATGTAGTTTTTGGTTTATTGTAGGTCTCTAGTCATAATAAGTTGTATTCATTTCCTGAAAACAAGACTCACCTAAATTAGCTTAGCTACCTGCAGGCTAGTGGGCATGTCAAAACTATATTTGAAACTTGAAAACAAATTAGATGTATGTATCTACAGGGGTGTAGCCGGGCACTTTTTCCCATTAAGCTTAAAAGGTTAGAGGAGGAAATCTCCATGCTGTGACGAGAACCTCCTTATATGTAAGCTAGCTTGCACCATCTTCAATTTACACGCACGCAACATCGTGTCCATCTTGAGATAATTCTGATGAGTCATTTCTGAACCTGAATTAAGAAGCCCTTAACTCCTCACTTTTTATATTAAATAAAACCTGGGCTGAGTTGTTCCTAGCTGGGTTAAGATAACCCAGGCTTAGTGCGAGATTTGAATTCAGATTTGAAAGCCTAAAAAGCATTTCAGTTGTAATTCTTTTTATCTACAGATTGATGATTGGAAGCTCTAAAAATAACAGAGAAAATTATCCAAGAAAATGCTTTTGAGCACAAGAAAAAGAAACCAGGGTTAAATTTAACCCCAGGTTAAGCGCTAATCGGTCTTCGAACAACTGGGCCCTGACTGATATTCTTTGCTATTTTAAAAAAACAACCATTTTGTTATTTCACACTCTCGCAACCTTGAAGTTTTTTATCACTTAAACTTGTGAATAAACGATCAAATAGTTAATAATAAATGAGTCGTTGATTGGTATGGAGAGTGTCAGCTCCCACAGCGAAAAACTCATAAATGCAAATGCGAATAACTTTTTAGCTTTACAATGCCTAAGGGCTGTGTCAGGGATCTCTTAGTTCCATCATTTTGTTAATTAATGTTGCTAATTACTGATCATGAGAAGTCAAGTTCGTCTATGTGGTATACCAAAGTGTTATCTGCAACGTAAATGTTAAACTGTATAATTTAGAAGTCCACAGATCTCTTGAAAACCCATTTTCCTTTTCAAAGCGGTACTTTCTATTGATTGATCCAACCCAAAAAGTTCCATTGAAAAAAAACAAAAGTTTTATTTTTCGACTAAATGTTCCCCATTCTAGCGAGTCTAAAAACGTGTTCAGCATCTTAATTGCCACCTGCTATGTCTTCGTACATAATTGACAAAACGCTTATCTTCTTGTCAAAACCTTTAAAAAAATGTTTACCGTTTGCATATTAAATCCATAATGTTGCCAACTATATTAATCTTGTTGGCTGGAAATGACACCAAAGGCAATATACACCACACTGTTCGGTTACAATTCGAGTTTGTAAATACCACAGCAGGTTCTTTTGAAGCTCGCAGACATTATTCTTAGCTTATTTTACCTATTTGAAAATGATTCGTACCGATTAAGATAGTCACTACAACACACTACTTGCTTAATTGGCAGAAAGACAAGGCTCGGCGATTCAATAAAACGCATTTTCGATTCAATAATCGCAGGCGGTCGACAGTTATCATATATTTATGAGTTTGTGGGAATTCACCATAGATACGCTTAGTTTACTCAAAAGCGATTCAGTCTTATTTCGCTACATTCAACACTTGTTTTCAGATGTAAAGCACCCAAAAGTGGTAAGTGTTAGTCCACACTAAAAAACGGTTGATTTTCAGACGCTGTATATGTCTTCGGTGAAGAAACAAGTCCGCTTTAGCGAGCAGGATGGAAGAAACACCTCATTAAGTCAAACTTTAACTCTGCGACATATTGAGACGCCAAATTCTGACACTAGCTCCCGAAATATCAGGAAAAAAAAGGGACGGAGAAAGACTAAACTTCAGCTACTCAAAGCCGAAAAGAAGAAGCTACAAAGGGATTTAAAGAATACCAAGGAAGGTATTTTGGAAGATAGTGAAAGAAAGGCAAGCCCGTTATATACTCCTTATGAAAGCAGACAGAGACTCGCTCGCACTGCGAGTGAAACGTTGACCAAGCTTCAGCAAATGCAAGGAAAAATTGTAACGAAGGAAAAGACAAATAAATTGAAAGTTCAGCGAAAATTGAGCGCTAAGTTACAAAAAAGATCCATCAAAGCTGATAAGCAACACAGCCGGATCATCAAAATGACTTCAAGGATGGAGCGAATGAAACTAGGAGAAGAGGAACTGCGCGCTGAGATTGACAGAGAGCTGAAAGAAGGAGCGACTTATACGCCTACTGATTCAACAGACGCAGAATCTAGTCCAGTTCGTTTACCTCGCATTCGCTCAGCTGATTCAGCTGACTGGATAAAGCTTTCAAGTTTACCTGAGCCCAGAATAGATAATGAAGATAAAGACTCTAGACCTACCTCTGTGTTGAGTGATTTTGCAATTCAGCTGACTCCAAGCGAGAAGAGGATTGCGGCAGACAAGCTTGCTCATAAGTACGATATGACACGTGAGCTAAGAAACGCAATTCATGAACACATGATATCGCGCTCTTATAGTTTTTCATATTTCAATATCATTCCGCCGTATAAGAGGAAAAAGCCTAAACCACAGAAAACGAGGCAAGTCTTTAACCGTTTGGTTTACGAGGACAAAATCGGGGTTATGGATTTTAGAAAACTGCAACCGAAAAAAGTGGTTTTAAGCTCCTAATAAGTTACCGTAAGAAATGCCTTGCAAAACTTACAGACAATTCCTACGTAAGATCGTTTGTATTTAAACAGAAAAAACCTCCTATCAAAGAGGGAGGAGGAGATTAACTTGCTGTTCCAAGAATACATACTGTTCTACTAATTGTAGTCAAAAAAGCCGTAATTGGATGTATCCATTAATTCCTCGCCGAGTTTGCTCAGTTAACTTTTTAGAGTTCTGAAATTAGCCTTTATGATGATAAATTCTCTCTGCGGGTCTCCGGGGGAACGATTGCACGCTACCAGTTGCTTGTAATCTAAACTCGAACTTTATTGCCCTCGTTTAGCAGTTTTGTTCAAGAAAACGGGTTTAAACATGATGTCCTTCTAATATCTGGTGGATGCTCTAGAGTGGAGCTTTTACGAGCATTAAAGAAATCTTGATATCGTAGCGTTAATGGTATCTAAATAAAATATAACGTTTATACACTGTTTGTCTTAATTTGGTTGACTGAAGTAACCTTTAAAAGGGTCTCATAGATACTGGTTTCCAAGCAACCCTAAAGTGCTGAAAATCAATTAGGCTCTAAGTCAACAACGTCCTGGCAACCATGCTGTTTTGGTTGTTGTCGTTGTTGTTGTTGTTGTTGTTGTTGTTGTTGTTGTTGTTTGCGTGGCTATGGTTACCATTTCCTACACCACGCCCATATCTGGGATATGAATTTTTATCAGTACTTGACGTGATGTTAATAAACCCTTGGAAACGTCAACAAGACAATTATTCGCGCCAGGTATCCACCGAAATCCAAAGAAAAAAAAATACTTTGTAATTGTGTATTTCATTCCTTACAACAGAAATCGGACAAAAGTACATGGCTTGCCTAGTTAATGCAAACTTTCAGAAATTCCATAAATTAGCTTCTCGTAAAAGTCTGGACTATATAAAAAACAAAAAAAATTAAAAATTTTTCTCTCTAAAATTAAATTGTACATCAAATACAGTAAAAAAATGGCATTTATTCTGTGTTTGTAGGAGGCTGACAATTTAAATGGGAGTTGATGAAAGTTAAACTGATTAGGCGAACATTCCAACGAGGTCTAGTACTATTAGGTTTTTCCGCCAAATATTGAGTAATCACAAATCACAAGTTTGACGACAAGATTTGGTCAACTACGTCCTTTTTATATCTGTTCGACATCCTTTTTAATCTGTTTCTTGATTCTGAACACAGCCGACTATTCGTCCATGATGGGGGATTTTTTCAATTTAAACGCGGTTTTGTTTAATTCTTATTTATCTCAAAGCAATCGCTTTATTTAACAAACGTTCCAATATAATCTTCTCTTCTGCCTGATGTTTTAAACTGGCGTGACTTAATGTTGACGGTGTATTGACCTGATACTTTAGCGATTCCAAATTGAATTCGGAACCGAGTTCAAAAAATGTCGAATTAATGCCTCATTCACTCATTCTTTTGTGTTTACCGTGGTGTTGTACGTATTTTAAAAGCCTCTGATCTGACAACAGCAAGTGCTCGAGCTAAATCACAACTACATCTACCATTCTGTTTTGTTTTTAAAAGATCCCAACGGGAGTTTTTTTAATTTACGAAAAATCGTCATTGTTGCTTAAAATGTTTATATTAATTGCGAGATAACTTCTAAATACTTTCATTGTTTCGTTTCAGAAAACAAAAGACTGAATTTAACACCGCAATGTTTCATAATTAAAGTTCAGTTGGTCGTACGAGCTCTGAACGACTTTGAAACTGGAATGTTTGAATTAGATATGCTTCCGGCGTTCTTCGTTGCAAAAACACTGATCTCATGTATGTCAGCAAATGATATAGAACTAATAGAATAGCTATTTCAGTAACCCGTGAAGCTGAAGTTTCACCCAACAACTCGAGGATGGAGAAGAAACAAGTTCTGAATACAAATTCAGGTCAAACTCCAAATTCCAACGCAAACTCCAATAACAAGACCTTAAAGAAGAAGACAAAGAAAAGGACAAAATTGCAAGTACTCAAAGCAGAGAAGAATACGGTTCAAAAGGGCTTACAAGCGACAAAATTAGCAATTTTGGAAGATAACGAGAGGAAAGCAAATCCGAATTACACTCCGTACGAAAACCGAAAGAAGCTAGCAAGATTGGCTTTTGATGCTGTCTCTAAACTTCATCAGGTAAATTCATCATAATTCACCAACATATGATAACCCGTTCTTACACTGTTTCATACTTCAACATAATTCCTCCATATAAGCACTTTAAGCCCAAACCGCAAAAAAGCAAGAAGACGTTTAATCGCTTGGTTTTAGAGAACAAAGTAGGGACAGCACCCCTTAGTAACCTGCAGCCAAAGGTTTAGTACTCACATACTTTTAGCGAAGCAAGTCCTTAATTTAACAAAGGCTTCTTACATTGCAGTGAATTTCATCACAATGAAAAATGCTGTTTGTTCCTGGGTGCGGTTACTTGTCTTACTTATTTTCACTCAACAATTTTGAGGCCAATATAGGTGTGTTAGACCGTGCTAGTCCTAGATCAATTATACTTTACTTTTCAACCTCGTACCCAGGGCTTTTTCTTGCAAAATGGGAGAGGCTGTTATGGTGATACGTGATATGAGCATCCCCATTCCTAAAACCCTCGTGATATGGGCATCTCCTTCTCATATTTGGGTTAGGGTTAGGTTAGGGTCACAGGGGATGCCCATATCACTAAGGTTTTGGGAATGGGGATGCCCATATCATTGTGACAGGGTCCTCCCATTGTCTGAGGGAAATGCACTGGGGAAGAGGTTGTATAGTTTCTTTCTCCCACTTCTATCCCGGGCTTCTATCTTGGTTATTGTTATTCATAACATGGTAATAAGAATCGCTCTGCCCTGGGAAAAAAGTAAGTAAGACACAGCGGAAATAGAAACGTGGGGCACGAGATCAACCATAACACATATAAGTGAGAGTGCGAGTCGCCAGTCTCTTCACCTTCGTGGCCTCGAGTAGAATGATGGCAGAAACACCTGTAACTTCTTTGGCTCATTCTTTATAATCCTTAGAGTACCAATTCCTAACGAAAATGGTGTTTGCATTGTAACTTAGGTCCGCTAAGGCTTAGCGCCGTGAGTGCGGATTTAGTAAGACATGAGACGGTGGCAATCTCTCAGGCTTTTCTTATTAGAATACGGGGGGGAGTAAATCCTTTCTGATGGAATAAGTCGTACGTCTTCATAGAAAAAAGTGTTATTATTCATTCAAAATATTTCCCCGATTCTGATTAGCTAAAAGCACATGTTTAATTCACCATAACCAGTTACTGATGACCAAATTTGGAAGACTTTTGACTTTAACGAGGAAATGACGTCAAAAAGCAGCGTTTTCGCAGGTTAAGGCACCGTTAACCGAGAAGACCTGGGGACGAGGTTGAGTTGTTTTGGTTGTGAACTTGAAAAAATGGCGGACATTTCACTCGTTTCAAGAGTAAGAACCAGGCGAAAAAATAGCTAAATACATTGCAAGAACAACAAGAAGCCAACTCGAAGTGCGACATCTGCTAGTTGCTGAATATTTGCGGGGGTGGTAATACCCAGTATTGGGTCTCAATTTGGTAGAACTAGGCGAAAAAATAGCTAAAAACATGGCAAGAACAGCAAGAAGACAACTCGAAGGGCGACATCTGCTATTTGGAGAATATTTGCGGAGCTGGACAAACCTAAACGAGGGTCTCAATGGGGTGGTGGCATTTACGGTTATCGGCAAAAATTTTGGCTCTTTTACGGCTATCGGCTAATTTTTTTCAGTTACGGTTAACAAAAAAGTTAAAAATTAACTTCGCAAATATTAATCCCCAGCAAGAAGCCACACTTTCGCTATGGAAAAAAAATTCGTTCCCCGAGACAGCGGCGGAAATGGAACCAGGGTCTTGGTCGACACCTAAGAGGCGCTTTACCTAACGTACGTACGGAGTCACATTAACCGGGAAATAAAAAAACGCAACCATAAGTGTGTTTAGTACCTTCGTTAAAAGTAGCAAATCTAGGGAACAATTTCTTTTACGGTTAACTCTTTTTACCCTACTTACGGCTAACGGTTAGAATTTTTCAATTTTTACGGCTATATATCGACTAAATTTTTGGCCCTTTTACGCCTATTGGTTAACCCCATTGAGACCCTCCTAAACGTACACTATCGAAGATGAACTGAACATCGATGGATCGATATAGGTAAGCATGCTTAAGCTGTGTTTTTAAACTAGGAATTATTTTGAATGAATAATAAAACAGTTATTGAATTCGGTTTTCGTATCATATGAAGAATTATGGAGATCTCGGAGGGTGTTATCCGCCTTGGCCTACGGCCTCGACGGATAACACCCTCCTCGATCTCCATAATTCTTCATAAGATACTCAGCCTCATTCATTAACTGTTAATTAAGAGACTCGTCAAAGGCCATAATTGTAGTAAGACTTCTGCGCATGCCCGGGGGACTGGTCAAACAACCTCGTTCCCAGGGCCTCCCCTTATTTCCGTCTCCTAGACTGGTCAATTGTTAGAAAGCTGAACAATGTTATCCACTTAATACATTACAAGCCACTGGATAAGTACTGAGGAAAATCGAATGTTATCAAATGGATAGTGATTTATCCGAAGGATAGCAATATCCACCCGGTGAACATCGAGGCTTTGAGCGAGGTCAGGGAACGAGCTTGAAGGAGAAGTGCGCCATGGGAGGGAGAGGCCAGATTACGGACATCAGGAGCCTTTTAGCGGCCATTCCCTCACTCCTCACGCTGATCTATACGCTTATTGCTTTTCCAATTCGTTCTTTTTTTGTTGACAAAATACACAGGGTTCCCGGGGGTACTCCTGGGAATTCTTGGTGGGGGTGTGCCACCCGATTCTCCAAATCCTGACCCTACAGACCTTTGTCACGCGGCGGCCATTTTGTTTCAGGAGATTTAAAAAGCTTTGTTCATGCACGGCTAGCATCGTTCTCTCTACGAGCCTAGCCGTTCATAAACAAAGCTTTTTAAATCTCCTGAGACAAAATGGCGGCCGAGTGACAAAGGTCTATTTCAGACCAAAAATGTCATTTTTCAGACCCGTTTTCAGACCTGGTCTCTAAGAAATTTTGGCATCATTACTTAGATAAGAACAGCAACAAAAAATTTTCTCAAAATCCATTTCGAATTCGCATATTTCTCTCTCTTTCTTACTAATTTGGAATTGAAACGATAAATACGTTCATACACTCCCGTAGTTCCATAGAAAACCATACCCGATTCCAACGAAGGTCTCCTACTATTTAGCTCTCTAAAAATACTTTCTAAGTAGTGCTATAAATATTGCATCTGGTCGGTTGTCCTTGGTCTTGTGTGAATTTTTCTGATTCCTTCTTTCCATCACATTTTCAATTCCGAAAATTTTAGTTTACCTTTTCTCGAGGGGAAATGTGAAAAATTAAGCTTCAGAAAATGGTAGGGAATTTATTAGGTAAGCTTAAAAAATCGCCATAAAGTAAAATACTGTAACGGTCATATAAACCAAGCCATAGAGAAGTTGGTAGGCATTTGCTTCTATTTCATTTCTCCTGTCCCTAGTACCCCCTCCCCCGCTCCGTAGCCGACCGTTCAAGCGCGCACGGAGAATAGGCGCTATTCCATTTCACCTAAAGAGCCCTGGGAACCCTGGGATACCCACATGTAGTGTCTGTCATCCATATTTCCTTCGTTCCTTTCCGTAACTTTTGTACTTTCTTATTTTTTGCGCAAACTTTAAACCTAGCTTTGAAAATGACGTCGATGACCAACGGAGGAACAGTTCCCATGCGAGACGCAGATGCAATTAAGTTGTTTATTGGGCAGGTCCCGAGAACTTGGGATGACAAAGATCTTAGACCATACTTCGAAAGCTTTGGACAAATACACGAACTGACCATTTTACGAGACAGATTAACGCGGAACCATAAAGGTAATAATCTTGGTTGATCGTCGATTTTCGGTACTCTTTCGCAGTGTCTTATTTTTCTTGCTTTTTAGGTTGTGCGTTTCTTACGTTTTGTTCTCGCGAATCTGCGATTGCTGCACAAAAGGAATTACACGAAAAGAAAATATTGCCCGGGGTAAGATAATTAAAAATGTTTACTTGCTGCTAGGTGTATTAAACATTTAACGTTAAAACTTTTGCTCATGACATTAAATGTTATTGTTTTTGTGTTTATTCCGTGTTTGTAGATTGAAAGAAATTTCCTTCCAAAGTCAAACACAGGCTATTTTCTCTTCCCTCGTTGTTGGCAGCGAATATGAAGGAGCATGATATTTATTTTTTTTAAATATTATATTTATTATTTTTTCATGTAGTGGGTAAAATATAACATAATAACAATTAATCTTCTTAGATTCTCAATATAAACTAATTGATTAAGACCTTGATGATCAGTACGGCACTATTTTGTGTGGATAAGATGATGTCGTTGTCAGGAACACATCGACAAACTATATATTAAGATCAGAAGATGTCAAGTTCATGATATTTTCCGTTGTTGCTACAATGTTTAAAGGTGTTGTGTGGAAAATGTCAGATCATGCGATTTATTTTATGACAAAATAAGATGAAGCTTATTCAGCGTATTCCTCAGTCCCTAGTTTACTGTGGTCAGTTTAATTGAGCATTATAATTTTAAATTAGACTGTAAAGGAAGGCTCCTACTCCCTGCTTATGTTAATGAAAATGCATTCTACACATCACAGAAGTCAAATAATCAGAATTATTTGTGCATGGTTTGTGGCTGTATGGGAAGGGGGTTAAACAGCCAAAAGGAATTTTTAAAAACTGTGCAATTTGAAGAGATAATTACATGTATTTTGCTTCAATTAGTACCTGTTAAAAATTTATATATCATAGAGTTTTATTTACTTTATTATAACTGAAAATGGATGGTTATGCCTAATATTATTTCATCTCATTGAAAAAGTACTCGTTCCAGTGTTCATACTACATTGCACTTTTTTTCAGTGGATTAACTAGTTGCTACTTTGCAAGTAAACAACTATCCATTATCTTTTTAACTGACACATTCCATGTTGCCATGCATCTATTAAGTAAGTTTAATTGAACTACATCTGTCCGAGAGAGTGGCCCTCTGTTACACACGGCAGTAAATATGCAGTATGAAAATAACCCAAGCAGGAGGGGTACTCCCTCATATAAGCCAAATAGGTATGTGCCACCCTAAAGGGTAGGGTTTTTGGCCTTTTTGGTCTGAAAATGGGTGTAGACCTGCCCATTTTTGTCTGGAATCGTGTATCATTTTCGAAGGAACTACGGAAGCGGATGAATGTATTTATCGTTTCAATTCCAAATGAATAAGAATGAAATTGGAAATATATGCGAATTTGAAAAGCAATTTGGAAGAAGTTTTTTGTTTGCATTCTAATCTAAGTAGCGATGACATGATCTCTGCCTAAAGGCCAGTTCTGAAAACGGGTATGGATTTTAGAGGTTTGGTCTAAAAACGGGTGTGAAAAATAACATTTTTTGGTCTGAGATAGGGTCAGGATTTGGAGAGCCAGACAGGACATCCCCACCAAGAATTCCCAGGAGCACCCTCCCCCCTCCCTCCCCCCCCCCCCACCCAGGAAAAAAAAAATAAAACAAATACTTCTTTTTTTTTTTTTTTGGGGACTGCAAAATGCCCTGCCGGCCAAACCAGCAGAAAGCGAATCTAGATCGGGTAAGTGGGGCCGGCTTACACTAGAAAGGTTTAAAAAATTGCTTTGTGCGTTGGGGGGGGGGGGGTTGTGGTTTCGGCCGGTGCTCTTTCAAATTGTGGTAAAAAAAAAATTTTTTGGGGCTAGAAAGGGGTAGGATTTTGGGAGCCCAACAAGACAACCCCCCCAAAAAATCCCCGGAGCCCCCCCCCCCCCCCCCCCCCCCCCCCCCCCACCAAGGAAAATAATAATATAACTAATACTTCTTCTTTGTGTTTTTCGGTAGATGCAAAATGCCATGCAGGTCAAACCAGCAGAAAGCGAATCTAGATCTGGTAAGTGGGGCCTGCATAACATAGAATTGTTTAAAATATTGCATTGTGCATTGGGGGAGGGAGGGTTGTAGATTACAAACCAGAGTAAACAAAAGTATTCAAATGCAATATATTACCAGGCTCCTTTTATAGTCAGTCCTAAATTACCTCAGCTACGCAATTATCTTGACTTTATTCTCTGGTCCCTTGTTTCATGAATATTAACTCTTTAACCCTAATATCAAAATGTAAATTTCCATTTCCTGTTCTGATAGTGGGGAGAAAAAAATTGTTAAAGTGTTTTAAAATAAAATTTGTCTTGTGTTATTATCTCCTTAACTTTCATGACCACCTTGCTTTCTTTTCGTAGCTGCATAATTTGTGTTTTGAACTGTGTGGATCTTCTCTGTATTTATTGCTCATATCATTGTTGATATTTCTCTCTCAGAGGACCGTAAACTGTTTATTGGTATGATATCTAAAAAAGCAACAGAGGATGATCTTAGAATGATGTTCTCGCCATACGGAACTATAGAAGAGCTGACAATTTTAAGAGATAGTGATGGCAAAAGTAAAGGTTTGTATTCTTTGTACTCAACTCACAAACAAACCTGTAACAAACAGGTTTTATAAATAATAAGGAATCATAAGACCTTATTCACACCATCCACCATCTTTGAGTGCACTGTGTGGCTGTCAAGTTTGTTTATTGTCATAAAATAAGATGACTATTTTTTTAAAATAAACAGTTTTGACAAGTTTTACCTCATTGTCACTTGCTCTGAGGACATGTACAGTTGTTACAGCTATTTAAAAAAGCAAAAATGATCACTTCCACCCATAATTTTCCATTATTATCTTTAAGATAAAAAGTTCTTCATTTTCTGTTGTCTAAATTAACAAACTCGACTGCGATTTCCTGTATTGGCATTTTTTATCACTTGTTTGCCCTCTGAGAAACCACGTGACATTTGTTTTATCCCATTGGTCCTTAAGCGCATGCAAAGATGCCAGGTATCATGAATAAGGTGTGCAGTGAAAACACCTTTCTTCCAGTTTGGAGATCTGATTTCTTTACTGTTGAAACTGTGCAAAAAGCCACCTCTATGAACAGCTGCAAAATGTTGTCTGGCCAGAAGCTCATTTATTTACTCTCCTCCAGAGAACAGCCACTCCTTCACAACGGTGATTAGGGCTTAAAACAAACTAGGGGGGTACTTGGGATAATTTTTGCTGGGTATATGCCGCTGGCCTCTCACCGCCCCTACCCCATTATAGTCTTTTCTGTGGCCAATTATAGACCCCATCTTAGTCACTTTTGGGCAAATATGTAATTTTGCAATCCAAATATATTTCCCTAAAGAATGAGTTGAGAGAATTTAGTAAAAGATCAAAGCATTTTCTTTTAGCTGATCATTTTATTAATTCTCATAATGTAATCTCTTGACAATCTATGGATATTGTCAGGAGAAAATTGATGTTGGTCACTGTTGGGACTTAAAGGGCTAACAAATCATCAAGTAAGAGGAGTATGAAGTGGCCCCCAGTAATCAAAATATGAGAGCTGCTTGCCCAAAGAACAAGCTGGAATTCAAGTTCTTTTAGAGCCCTGATTGATGGCCAGCATTTCATTAGCCCAAACACAGAAAATGCACTTAATATATCCTCTTCACAAAAGAAACATGAGCTTGATAAAATGTAAGTCCTTTTTCCGAGGCCCATGTGCACTATTGAGATTTGAACTTTGTGATAAAATTTCAGGGCAAAACCTTATCACCTTTTTGGTTCAGTAATGAATGGGTGAATTATAGCAGATTTTATTCACAAGCATAATACACATGGTATTGTAAGAAGAATGTACTTTTTTATCTCTTTATCAGAAGTCACATGGGCTTTATTAATACCATGAGTAGAAGATTCATATAATCATTAGTTTATCAAGGGAGTATTACAGCCAATTCTCTACCAAGCAGTCACCTCTGTCATCTTGATTATGGCCAGAGGGTAGTGGAGGAAAAATTGTGAAATAGAGCCAGTGTAACTATAACTATGTTCTGTTTAGGTTGTGCCTTTTTAAAATTTCCAACCAGAATGCAGGCTCAAAATGCCATTGCAGAGATGCATAACAGTACAACAATGGAGGTTTGTCATTAAATATCATTTGCTCTGTCAACACACATGTAACGAGTATCTTCTCCTGAGTGTTTTCCATAGTTTATTAAGACTAGAGTTACAGTCATTGCTTGTGTTTGTTTTCTTTGATAAATCTTGTCAATAAACTTTTAAAAGCATGCATATAGGTTGTGTCGGCGCTCTGGCTGTGGTGCGGGAAAAGGAAGGAGAGATTGCAGCTACGTCCCTAGAATTTTTAATTCCATTGCCAATTCCCCTATGGCTCCCCTTCGACTGAACTGTCAGATTTCTTTCAATCAGCATGAAGTGGAAATGAGCGCGACTGTAAACAAGCATTGCAAAACGCATGCCAAGGGTAATGATGTCATTACTATCAGCATTTCGCACTGACTTTTTCAATACAGATAGTCAAATTCCAGGGACGTAGTTGCAAGCACTCCTTCCTTTTCCCACCCCACCGCAAGAGGGCCCCGGAGAGCTTGCTGTAGGTGGTAGGAGACTCCATTAACTGGCTCAATACCTGCTTTAGGTATCATATCTGTGCACTTACTTACCAAAACATTGTCTTCTTAATCAAAACTATAACAAAATTCTCTAATCTGATTGGCTGTCAGGAGCCCTGATTTCTGCAGCTTTAACTGAACAGACAATTCGCACCATTACGTGCATGCACTTGAATAGATTTTTTCACGTCTAGCAATAACCTCTCAGAAGATTTTGTGTTATGATTTAGAAATGCGTGTAACCTTAAATTTTCACAAATTTGGTATTGTGAGACTTGGATAGTAACCAATGAAATAGCAATAAAGTAGCTACAGTGACAATTGTGTCAGCAGACACTCTCAAGAGCATCAATACTGTCTGCTCAACAAATGTGTTCACTAAATGCAGGTTTTTCACAGACAATAATGTAAAGGAGAGTGCAAAGCTTCCAACACCTGTGTCTGCTTAAAATTTGGTCTGCTGAAATAACCCATTTTAAATGTCAAACTTGGCGTTTGCCAAATTTAATGCTAATGATGAAGATCGGTCATTTTCACTCATTTTAAAACGGACCTAAGAGTAACCAGCAACACATGTATCATTGACTTAGTGACACTGCTCTATTGGACATTATGGTCATGAGAAAAAGGAAACAATCAGCAAGAAGTGAATCAGGATTGTTTAACAAATTCTCCCAAACAGCACCTGCCATAAGAAATGTATAGACCACAATGGGAGAATATGTTTTCTGATATTGTGGATTTTAAATGTGTTAATGCGGGTTTCACTGTCCTCTTTTTGCAGGGGTGTCCATCACCAATAGTTGTTAAGTTTGCAGATACAGAAAAAGAAAAACTTCAAAAGAAAATGCAACAGATGGTTACCCTAGGTGGCATGAGTATGAACATGCTAGGAATGGGCTTCCCTTACTTTCAGCACTCCAATTATAACACAGCTTGCCAACAGGTAAAAAATTTATTACATGTTATGTGTTGATATCAGCAAGATAACCCTTACCAAAATTAAGTATACTATAAGTATCTTTTTTTCATATTCCAGGTATACTGCAAATAATATACAAAAAGTATACTTTACATAGCTGCTAAAAGTAGAGTTTAAGTATACTTGTTTCCACCTGATATTGGAACACACAAAAGTCTTCCTTGAGTTTACTTAGGGCTGGTTTCCACTAGCAATGGAGTCAGAGTCTTAACTGTAAGCAGAGTCGTAAGAACTCTCATTATCTTGTGAAAATCAAAAATAGCAGTCATAAGCGTTACTTATCCTATATTACAATACTTATCCTACATTATTTGTAATTCATTTTCTATTATTGTGTGGCAAATAAGATAAAATAACTATAGCTTATTTTTAAACCTTGAACTTGACTGAAACAGTTGAGTTTCTCTTGCTCACATTAAATTATCATCAGTTTCTTCAACAGCAAGCTAATTCACCTTCAACGTTACCTGGAAGCTTCAACATGATCCCTGGAATGACTGGTCCAGGTAAGCCTTCTAACTACACAATGCAGAAGGAAGAGGGAGGGTGGCACTAGTCTGCTTGTGGCCAAAGTTCAGTGCTTGTGTAGAACATCCTGTTAGTTACCAGTTTTTTCTCATGTAGAGTTGGTGTCTTGTAGGTAAAAACCATTCTTTGTTTAGGCCAGAATTCCCTTTCTCTTATGAATAAGGAGCTCAAGTACTGACAACAGCGATGGCAATGAGAATGGCCAAAAAGAAATACGTTTAGATTAGCAAAACAACAGCTTTGCATGTGCTGCACGCTTTTTTTGTACATTCCTTTGCCATCATTGCACAACTAAAACGTGAAAGTGCCTAAATTCACGTTTTGTCCAGGATGGGAACACAAGACAACAGCTTTCTTTTTCTTTTTTTCTGAACTTTGATACAGTCCTTTAGAATTCAACTCCAAAAACATTTGCCAACATTTCACAAAGTAAATGAGATCGAATATTAACATGATAAAGTTTGAAGCATCACCATATCACTTTTTAAGTGACGCTTTGTAGCTGTTGCCGTCGTTGTTGCTTAAGCTCCCTAATCATGAGGGCTAGAAAAAGAAATAGGGCTAGAAATTCTGGATCAAACTAGGCTGACTAAGAATGGATTTTACTTACAAAAAGGTACTCCTTAAGTAATGAATAAATAAGCTTGACCCTTTTTGAAAGCTAGCCTAGGGTCATGTGTTTTGATAATTAACTGTAGATATGATTTTCAAAATCAATTTTTATCTGTTTTCTAATGGAACAAAAACTATATGTAATCTGCCAGTTTGTTAGCGAGAGTAAGACATTAGTTGTTGGTGTTACTAGGTTACTTAGATCACATAGTAAGTTTTACATTTTGTGAGTGAAGTTTACTTAGTTTGCGTTTTACCTCAACCAAACATATGTTTTACTTTTGGTCAGTTCATACGATAATGCTCTTTGTTTGTCACCCCAAAATTTGCAGGAGCATTATTTTCAGTTTCTCTTGGGGCCATTTTAACTCCCAAGAGAAACTGAAGACAATGCTTATGTAAAATTTTGGATGACAAACAAAGAGCATTATGGCATGTTATGACATTTTCTGGAGTGGTCAATTGTTTTTGATATGTTGTTGTTGTTGTTGTTTTTTTTTTTTTAACAAGTGCCCATTTAACTCAATTATGTTTATAAAGGCGTATGCCACCAGTTTTTTAACCCTCTAAGCCCCAACATCCATATGCCAGTTTCTCCAAACTGATTTCCATACATTTACTTAAAGAAGTAGTTGAGAGAATTTGATAACAGATCAAAGCACTTTCCCTTTGGTGATCACTTTATTAATTCTCAAAACTCTTTGTTCTCCTGATTATGTATTGGCATTGTTAGAAGAATATTGATGCTGATTACTCTTGTAAACACCGATGTTTTGTGTGTGTTTCAGTAGTAGCCCCTGGAACCATGGGTGCCTTGGTAGCTGCCTCAGTCTTAGCCGCTCAACAACAACAGCAACAGCATCAAGCAGTTCAACAGGCATCATCATCACAAAATAACATCATGGGTGGAACAGGTGCCTTGGTTAACAGTAGCGCTGTTTCCACCAGCGGTGCTACCAATACGTCTTCAATGATGGGAGTGCAGGGAGTCCCAGGCATGACAGGCATTGGTGAGTAGCCATTCCTGTACTGCTACCCAGAGGTACAGGGTGCCAAGGTAGTCAGTTTTACAGCTTGCCATGCAGGCAAGCTGTAGCTGGCATGTACAGTACTAGCATACGAGTCATTTTAATTGGCCCGAAAAAATTTTAGGACAAGCAGGATTAATTACAGTTCTTCTGTAATTTGAATTCCCTAAAAAAATTCACTTGCCCATTGGTCAATTTGATAACAGAATTCACTGGCCCAATAGCAAAATTCATTAGTCCTGGGCTATCGGATACGACTTTCTTTGCACTCTAAGGTACTGTCAAACATTTGCCTCATGGGGGCCGAATGAGGTCTGACGTGTTATGTTTCTTTAGATGACATCAACAGACAGTATGTTGCATTAGGCTGCCCAGGGTAGTGCATTTTCAAAACCTCCCTTTACACTGTACATTAAAAACGCTCTACCCATACTAGCATTTTCACATTGTTGTTATTTGAGTCAAATGGCCTTACTAAGCCATCTTTTCTTCCCAGGCTATTCTCAGACGTGTACCAAACTCTGCTCTATACCTGTCATTGTTAGGATTAAAAGCTTTGTCATGCATGAGTGGCTATGCAGTCAGCCCATCAGCATTTCCCAAAACCTTTGTTTTGCCCGACCACTTCTAGACCATAGACCTCCCCTTTTAAAAGTCTCCACGTTTAGTAGTGTCTCTTGTGAACTTTTTGGTTTAGTTTTCAAACAAAAACATACTCTTGTTAAATGACTTTAACTAAACTGTGACTTCACTCCTCAGGTATGAACATGTCTGGGATGGGAGTTGGTAACCTTAGCAATATGGGAACCAGTCCACTTGGAATGGGAATTCCTGGCCTTGGCAATGTGGCTGCTGTTACTAGTGTGGGCAACAACTTACAGACTGGAGATGCTCTTACACAAGCTTACTCTGGAATACAACAGTACAATGGTAAGTATGATGTTTTTTGCACCAGGATGGCATGAAACCGGGGGAGGGGGGGGTTAGGTCGTGTCTGTTCTTTTGATTTCCAGTTTAGTGCCTTCAAAGTTGAATAAAGTTATATTCTTTCCATGTCATGCAGCTGAGTTGATAAAGTTAATTTTTCAAGGATTCAAAAGCTGACTTTTCAAGTTGCAGCCCTTTTGAGCTCTTACATGTATCCTTCCACAGAAGGGCTGGTACTTTGAAGAAGGGCTTGTGTTCTAACAAAGGGCTTGCACTCAAAACGTCTGCCACTGGGGCTACAACAATCAATACTTCTACAGCATTACTCCAGCTATTATATACTGATGCTTAGTTTGGTTACACTTTCAGCAACATTTCCTAATGTTTATGGTCCAGCAATATTCCAACAGCAACAACTACAACGACAGCCACAAAAGGAAGGTAAGATGTATGTAATCAAATCTCCAGGGAATGGTTGTATTCTTGCCCTTAACATCGCAACCACTTCTTCGATTTTTCAATGGCAGTCATCACAGACTCTTCTGGGATATGGGGCCTTCAAATTGCAACTTTCCATGAGGGAAAGTTAACAAGACCTACCACAATGAACAACATAAACCAAGCAGTTTCATTTGCTACAAAACAAAAGGCTTGGAATCTAGACTACACAGCGTGCAAAGAAAGTAGTGTCCGATAGCCTGGGGCTAGTGGATTTTGCTATCAGGCTAGTGAATTCTGTTTTTAACTTGCATGACAGGCAAGTGGTGTTTTTGAGGAATTCAAATAACAGAAGAACTGCCAAATCAATTCTGCTCGTCAAAACGCTTTTGGGGCTAGATGAAATGACGTCTGGGCTAGTAAATGCTATCTTCAGTTTGCTTGAATGGCAAGCTGCAAAAGTGATTTTCTTTGCACCCTGCTACAGACAAAAGGCTACAAACAAAAGGCTTGGACTTAGCCATTATTGGTTATAACATGTTGTAGAATTTAGTGAACAGAGAATAAGAGTAGCTTCCATTTTCATTCTTAAATTTAAATATGCCAAGACTCCAGTGTAACAAAAAAAACATCAACAGATCTTTTCACCATTTTCTGATCAATCAATGTTTTTGTTTCTTGTCAGGTCCTGAGGGAGCCAATTTATTTATTTATCACTTACCACCAGAATTTACTGATGCCGATCTCATGCAGACATTCTTGCCGTTTGGCGCAATAGTAAGCGCTAAAGTGTTTATAGACAAAGCTACAAATTTAAGCAAATGTTTTGGTAAGTGATAATCAATTGAGTTAGTAGCAATGTAGTTTTGTCACAGTGTCCTAGAATTTAGAAAAGTAAAAGCATGTAAACCATTATGCATAACAACTTTGGACATAAAATGGCAAGCAGCTTTTGTATTTTTAAGGTCGTCTGCCACATGGGAAAAAGCTTAAGGCCTGCACAATCCCCACAGGGTTTGCACTCACCTTGAAAGTCATTGAAAGTCCTTAAATTGTAAAATAAAAAAACAAGCCCTTGAAAATCCTTGAAATTGCAGTCGGTGCTGGAAAGTCCTGGAATTTCAGCGCTAACTTTGTCCAACCAGGATTCTCCAGTACCTACAAGGAGCAAACACAGAACTGAGACCTGCTCATGTTGTGGAAGAACTAAAAAAGACATATACTCAAGGCTCTTTTTTGCACTGAATGGAGTCCTTGAAAATGGGAAATGGGAAATGTGTCCTTGAAAGTCCTTGAAATATCTTTGAATTTTTTTGTTGAAAAAAGGGTATGAACCCTACGCCCAGTTCAAGGGGCTGGAGGTGTACTCCCACTTCTCTGTGAACTGGATTCTAGTCTATCACAGGGTTAAACACCCAGTATAACACTCTACTCCTGTTATGTTCTTGTCTATTTAACTCTTTCATTGCCAAAGGTGGCCAAAGTTTCATTTTCTAAAATGCTGGAAAACAAATGGTACCATGTGAAAGTACTACCCTAGAGGTTTCATTTGAATGGTCACACCACAGGATATTTTGCACAGACTCAAAAGTTAGAACAACTTTATCAGACTACATTACTCCCTCTGGCAGTGCTTAGTGGTGAGGGACAGTTTTAAGCAATGCTTTGGTGCAAGCAAGACTTCTGTGGAGCAATGCAGTGGCGCAACCTAGACTTCAACCACGGACATGACAAACTGAATCTGTAGAGGGTGTATTGCGTTACTTGCCTTGCCTCATGGTGTTCTGCGTTTGGATATTTGCTTGACAGGCAATTTAACCGTTGTGATGTCTTTAAATTTCATAGGTTTTGTAAGTTATGAGAATCCAGGTTCAGCTCAAGGTGCTATTCAGGCTATGCATGGATTTCAGATTGGCACCAAGAGACTCAAGGTACAACTCAAGAGGCCCAAGGATGCAAACAGACCCTACTGACTTTTGTGCGTGACAGGTAAAGGATTTTACCATTTATTTTTATTACTAAAACTAGTATCATTATTATCATCATCATCACCACCACCAACACCACCAACACCACCACCACCACCACCATCGTCATCATCATTATTAGTTATCATTATTTTAATTAACATTTAACAAAGAAAATCATCCAGTTACTGGCAAAGGAGTGGTGGAATGGCCTCAAGTCCATCTCTTGTTTTCTCCAAGAAAAATGAAAACAATTTTCGTAAATTTCCTCATACAGAGAAATATTGACAGCAGAGTCAACTTATCAGGTGGCATGTAACCTTTCAACTTTTTTTATGGGCTGTTTCACACTTATTTATTTTTTATTAAAAGAAAAGGAAGCCTCCTCACATCAGCTCACCTTTGGACAAGGGGAGTATGGCTGGCTACAATTTTTTGTGGCCAATATTTGCCCACGAAAACCAACGCAAAATTCAATCAGCCCATTTTATTTTCCTGTTTTTGCTCTCTTGACAAGTTAACTGATAATTTAATCTGTTCTTTTTTTCAGTTTCAATCTATTAGGGCCAGCCAACGACTTTTTTTCTGTTCGATTGAGCAAATATTGCCTAGAGCTTTCTAGAGTCGAACACGGCTAAAAATGTCTGGTTAACCGTTTAAAATACTCGGAGTATTTCTACTAGCTTACCTACGATTTTCGGAGGTTGTGTTTTCACATTTTATTACCAGGATATTGCGATTATTTTAAAAAAAGTTCTCCAGAAAATTTCGATTTAAAGACAAAGGGTACCGTGGAATTTTCTAATGAAATTACGGATAACCCATTTCCTCGAACTTTCCATCGGACCCATAAGGGTAGCTAACAGTTTCGAATGAAAAGAAAAAGCCTCCGCAAACTTTGAGACGACTAATGTTCCCCTAAGACATCCGAACAGATAAATAGGTTTGAGGGCAGCTCCAAATTACCCAGACAGGCTTCTAAAGCACAGAGAAAACCTTAACGTATTTGGATACATTAGGTCGTTGGGTGCCCTGAAGAGTGACCGTAACCAATAATTAATTTTTCTTGATAGTTACACTGCTCAATCAAAAGTAAAAGTAATAAGAAAGCAGGAATTGATTTTAAAAAATCTTGATCGTAAAACAAGTTCTCCTAATCATTACTATGGAAATGTATGAGAGTATGATAATATGGATGCTGACAACACGAATAGTACAGGCTGAGAAACAACCGACATTTCGCAGCGCCACCATTAGTTTCGCGGCAAAATGACGTATGAGAAACGAACGCAGAAATTCCACACTGATGACACGGTACGACCAATCAGAGGCAGCACCCTGATCTTGGTAGTGACGCGTCATCAGTGTGGAATTCCTGCGCTCGTTTATGAGATGTCATTTTGCGGGGAGAGCAGTGATGGCATCGCGAAATGTGGGCTGTTTTCTGAGGCTAGGAATAGGGTGGTAGGATGCCAGCCCTATGATTTACATCTTTTGATGTTCCTTCTTTTATTTATAAAATTATCAAGAGGCATTAACCAAAATCAAAATTTAATTACCTGAAATTTAATGCTACTTTGAGTTTGGACAGCAGATTGTTTGACTGAGCACCAAAAACAAAACATAAAAAGCGCAAGAGTAAAAATCGCTTTCTCAATTTGATGACCTCTTATTGAGAAACTTTCCAAAGGCAAAGAGCTGGTCCTTGCCATTCGCAGAATCCCCCCTTCATTGCGGAGGCGTGTGTTGCCGAGCGGTTAACACCTCGAACCCCGGATCTGGAGATTCGGGGTTCAAGCCTCGCCCGTCGCGTTGTTTCCTTAGACAAGGAACTTTATAGAACTCTGTCTCTCCTCACCCAGGTGTATAAATGGGTACCGGCGAGATAATGCCGGGGGGGGGGGACCCTGCGATGGATTAGCATCCCGTCCAGGGGTCAGTAGCTTTACCTCTAGGCATGCTTCATGCTAAGGAAACCGAGATAAGACCTGGCCGTTTGGGCCTTCGGCTCGTGTGTTGTTTTTGTTCATTACGCAATGCAGTTCGCATGGCTTTCAGTTGTATGCGAGAAGCAGATGGATTTAAATGTAATATATCTGAATAACTTAAATTTTATGTGCTAAATGTGTGCTATTGCTTTCTGTTAGTTAAGGCTTTTAACTATCTCCCTTGTCTCTGTCTCGCCTAGATCACGTGACTGTGTAACATTTGTTCTTCGTGGTGGCGGTGACCTGTTTGCGCATGTGCTTTATGTGTGTACCACAGTTGGTGACGTCACTTGTGAAGTAGTTCGTCACTGTTGGTGTTGGGATTCCGTATTACGTCACTGTAAAGCAGTATTGCGTTATTGTTAAATACGTCATTATATATCGGTGCATGTTTAGCGGGTGATTGTTAGCAAGCTGTAATCGAAGTGTTTATTCGTCTCGTGACCAGTTTTTTTCATGTCAGGCCAGCTCACTGTTTACTATTTATAGAACGTAGTTCATGTTAGTGTTAGCGTCTAAGTATAGGAACTACTGTGTTAACGGTTGTTATGGTGGTTTTGTAAAAACCGTTTATTGTAAGTGGTTTGTAGACTGTCGCAGTGAGGTGAGTGCTGCCCTGACTTTTACTTAATAAAACACTTTCATATCGAAGCCCTGTGTTCCTTGTTATCTCGCTGTACGCTTAAGAGACATAAGGGTTCATCTAAAGGACATGTTCAAGGGATACTTGCGTTGCAGAGACAAGTCTCTGATCAGGATGAGGGGTCATATTGCGGGAACTAGACCCAGGGATTAATATGACGCAGAGACAAAGTCTCTGATCATGTTGGGAGACATGAGGGATCATGTTGCGGGAACAAGTCCCAGGGATTAATATGACGCAGAGACAAGTCTCTGATTATGTTGGGAGACATGAGGGATCATGTTGCGGGAACAAGTCCCAGGGATAAATATGACGCAGAGACAAGTCTCTGATCATGTTGGGAGACATGAGGGATCATGTTGCGGGAACAAGTCCCAGGGATAAATATGACGCAGAGACAAGTCTCTGATCAGGTTGGGAGACATGAGGGGTCATGTTGCGGGAACTAGTCCCAAGGATAAATATGACGGGAGACATGAGGGGTCATGTTGTGGGAACACGTACCAGGGATAACACTGCCGCAGGGACAAGTCTCTGATCGGGTTGGTAGACATAAGGGGATATGTTTCGGGAAATAAGCCTAGGGATTAATATGACGTCGAGACAAGTCTCTGATCAGTGTGTAAACATGACGGGAGACATGAGGGGTCATGTTGTGGGAACAAGTCCCAGGGATAAATCTGACGCAGAGACAAGTCTCTGATCATGTTGGGAGACATGAGGGGTCATGTTGCGGGAACTAGTCCCAGGGATTAATATGACGCAGAGACAAGTCTCTGATCAGGTTGGGAGACATAGTAGACATGGCAGGTCATGATGCGGGTAAAAATACCAGTTTTACTTAATATACAGCGATAAGTCTCGAATAAGCAAAAGAAAAAGACCATCGCCGTGGTGATCATGTTATAGTCGGTAACGTAGACTATTGTTTATGCTTCTTCCTAAACTGGCGTACTCCCCGAGCTGTACTGAAAAGGGTGTAACAAGGAGAGAGTCTAGGTAAGGTCGGAGTTCCATACACACATTAATTTTGTTTGGTCTCAACTTTAAGCATAGCTTGACAAGCCAATATCTTCCAGAGAAAAAAGAAACAAAAATTTGATTTCAAATGAAATGATGAATAAACAAAGAATATTTCCATACTTACAGCGATACTTTTCCCTTGGTGCAAATGGACGTATCATTTTTGACCAACAACTTCCACCCTTATTTGGTGTTACATGTTGGGTCCGACTGCAAGGCTTGTTGCATGTTGTTGCGCAAAGTTTGAAACCGGTCAAATTTTTAGCCCCGTGCAAACGGACGCAACATTGTCGACGAACAATTCCCAACGTTGTTGGCGGAACAACATGCAACAGGTTGCGCAATCGGACGCAACATGTAACATCCAACGATGTTTGGAGTTGTTGGCGAACAATGTTTCGTCCGTTTTCACGGGGCTTTAGAGGATTGTGATTTGAGTTCAACTCTTCCTCCTACCATTGTTAAGGAGAGTGGAAGCGTGGTGTGCAACTGTGTAGCTCTTACAGTAACTGGACTTTTTTTAACTCAGGCGTGATGAGAACTCCGGCCGTAGATAAAAGAAGTAGGGTATTCCACTTAGAGGATTCAAAATGGTGTTAGTAATAGTCGTAAAATTTGTGTTTACTTGAGCAGCTTTATCAAACACTCAGCGCAGTGTTTGATCCGATATCCAGACCAACTGTTACATTCACCAGATTTAAACGTGAGCCACCATTACATTTATATGCCATTACGCCCTTGTCGTAGATTGATTCTATTCCTAGCAGTATACAACAAAATATTTGTTACATCAACCTGGCAGTGCAGTTGTGCAGTTTTGAATCCAGGGTAAAGCCGGATGGGAAGCCAAACCCCACCCTTACTGCACCCATCAAACCAGACGTCTTTAGTAATTGAACGACTAAATGATTTGAGACTAAAATGTATACCACAAAAGGATCGCAAAGAATATACACACCTAAATTGTACTAAATAATAACATGCATAAGCCAAGAAGAGTGTAAACGATCAGCTGTGAAATAGCCATTTAACGGTGAGCACAAGTTTGAACCCCTTCATGAATAAATTTTCGCATCGGCCCTTTTTTTTTTTTTTTTTTTTTTTTTTTTTTTTTTTAAATGGATTCTTTTTTTCCATCAACATACCCTCAAACAATTTCCATATAAATTATAAAAAAAAAAACTAATAAAAATTATAATCAAATATAAAAAATATAAAACAACAAACAAAAAACACAGTTTTTCTTCACACCTGCCTAGCAAATCATATAACATT